TAGGGTGGGGTCATTAAAAAATCTTCTTCTCAAGAACCACTGGGCCAGAAAAGCTAAAACTTATGTGGAAGCATCCTGGGATAGTGTAGATTCTAAATTGTTAAAAATCATGATAGTGTAGTATAGATTCTTAATTGTTCAAATCATGACCCCCGGGGGTAGGGCCGGGCCACAATAGGGAATACAAGTTTTACATTGCAATATATAGGAAAAATCTTGAAAAATCTTCTTCTCAAGAACCACTGAGCCAGAAAAGCTGAAACTTACATGGAAGCATCCTGGTGTAGTGTAGATTCTAATTTGTTCAAATCATGACCCCCGGGGGTAGGGCGGGGCCACAATAGAGAATACAAGTTTTACATTGAAATATATAGGAAAAATCTTGAAAAATCTTCTTCTCAAGAACCACTGAGCCAGAATAGCAAAAACTTATGTGGAAGCATCCTGGGGGAGTGTAGATTCTAAATTGTTCAAATCATGACCCCCGGGGGTAGGGCAGGGCCACAATAGGGAATACAAGTTTTACATTGAAATATATAGGAAAAATCTTGAAAAATCTTCTTCTCAAGAACCATTGAGCCAGAAAAGCTGAAACTTAGGTGGAAGCATCCTGGGGGAGTGTAGATTCTAAATTGTTCAAATCATGACCCCCGGGGGTAGGGCGGGGCCACAATAGGGAATACAAGTTTTACATTGAAATATAAAGGAAAAATCTTGAAAAATCTTCTTCTCAAGAACCACTAAGCCAGAAAAGCTGAAACTTATGTGGAAGCATCCTCAAGTACTGTACACTCTAAATAGTTCAAATCATGACCCCGGGGTAGGGCGGGGCCACAATAGGGAATCCCAAGTTTTACATTGAAATATATAGGAAAAATCTTTAAAAAATCTTCTCAAGAACCACTGGACCAGAAAAACTGAAACTTATGTGGAAGCATCCTGGGGTAGTGTAGATTCTAAATTGTTCAAATCTTGGCCCTCGGGGGTAGGGCGGGGCCACAATAGGTATTACAAGGGGGGAAGTCTGGTAATGAACAGCATGGCCAAAGTTACTCAGGTGAGCGATGTGGCCCATGGGCCTCTTGTTTAGAATGGCATTGTAACTCCCATCTACAAGAGGAACACTTGAAATGTGCTTTTTGGTACAGGTCACAACGTAAACAACTAGTATACGTCACTGATATATTAATTAATTTTTTTTATAAAAAATAATAACAATAATCACAGTTTATTCACGTAGTTCAATAAAGTAACATTCAATTATCGAAGAAAGAATAAAATTCTCGAAAGAATATTACTTAAGCAATACCAAAACAATACTGTATTAATATTTGGTTGTTAGTGTATGGCCTTGTGTCATCAATAGCTGCAGAGCTGTACCGTTGATTACCTGTGTATTGTGTGTGCTCAGGCAAAAAGGGATTTCTCATGGTGGCTGTATATTTCACCTCTTTGTGTAAAACAATGGGCTTGGATAGAGTCTCATTTATGAAATATTTTGTTAAAATGACACTTGTAAAAATTTTTGTTCATTGGGTGGGAGGTTTTCCCGACCCCTCCCCCCCAAACCCAATGAATCTGCCACTACCTACATCCAGTAGGCGAAAGCCTGTCCACTTCTCTAAAAAGAATACCTGTCTACCTGCTTGTATTAGTCTGCTTGTCATAATTCTCGTTCGCTCTGTACTCCGTTCGCCGTTTGTCTTTTTGTAAATATAATATTAACATTTCTGTTGAATTTTAAGCCCTTTCTTTTTTTAAAAATAACGATTCGCATTATGTTTTAAAAACATTTAAAGAAATTGAGACATTAATTAATAGGCCATTTTAATGGTGATGAGCAGACTGGCTGAGCTCAGCCAATGAGTACTAATGAGTAAATTTATTAGACACCTAATACAGATACCTATTACTACTGATAAAAATTATTCATGTGCATGAATGTATTTTTTTTTCCATCTATACTGTTTGTATGAATGTAATTAATTATAGTTCATATAGAAAAATTAATGAAAAAATTTAATAGAATCAGTGTTAATTACAAAAATTAACTTAATTATTAAACATAAAAATAGGGTGAATGGACCTTGGGCGAACAAGTTTTAGAGTGAACAGACTCTTGGTGAACGAGAGTCAGGGTGAATGGTTTCAAGGGCAAATGAACAAACATTCCAGCTAATAAGATCATGCACACAATTTTTTCCATGAACTGGTCTTTGGAAAATAATTGTTCATCCCTATTTAATAATATGAGCTGTTTGTGTACTTCTATGTAAGTCTTCTATCGACTTCTTATTTACATATTCATTGTGGAACATGACCATTTGATTTTAGAAGTACATGTACATGATGGACAAAAATAAAGACAGATCCAATAATCATGAGAAAGAAGATAAATATCCTCCATCAGATTCAATCTCTATAGAAGATGGTGTCGATATCACAGATCTTCAGATTGAAGATGAACAAATTGCAGACATGCCACTCACATTAGAAAAATTACCTGTGGAACTGCTAATGCACATCTGCAGTTTTTTGGATGCAAAGTTTCTTGTCCACACCCTGAGTAAAGTGTGTATTAGTTTTCAGGACTTGTTTGTTAGTGACATATACTGGAAAACCCGTATCCACAAGAGATGGCCCAAACCATATCCACCTGTGTATGGTAAGTTACATGTAGGTCTAAGACGATAGTTTCCTGTTTTTTTGGAATTCTGTTTATGGTATTAAAGTAGGTAAGTTTAATTAGAGGATCTGATTTCACTCGAAGAACTTGAAAGAAACAACATCAGTACACTTATAACTCATCCTACTATTGTTTTTCTTTGGGGGGGGGGGGGGGGGGAGGGGAGGGGTTCTTTTGTTAATACATGTAGTTTTAGATGAAAAAAATTATCTTGCATCATTTGAAGATGAAAACTTCAGCTGGAGGGAGGCTTGTGCAGAGAGGGAGGAATCATACAGAGTTTGGAGTAATCCTGATCAAACCTGTCACCACTTTTTCTATAGAGAGGGTATTTTTGCACCTGTTGATGCTGTTCATCTAATGCATGTAAGAGAAAAAGTGGCTTTGTTGTATACTAGCTTATAAATGCAAACAAGAAATATTTGTGAAATTAACAATGCACTTCAGGGATTATTTGTATTTGCAAACCAGACATTACTCTGTTGCATTCATGAGAGAAAAAGACTGTTTCATGAAAATTAGTAGCTGAAAAGATTTGGCAAATATTGAAAATTGTTTTATACATTTTTTTACAGTAATTACTGAGATTGGAACCTGAACATATTAAGTTTCTGCTAACAAAGGCAAAGAATGTGAAAAGTACATTTTTATTAAACCCCCCTTTTAAATATTTCTGTGTGCAAATTTTTCTCAGACTTTTTACATGCCTCTTTATTTTTGCAGAATGGAACAATATTAGCCTCAGGATCTAGGGACAGATATCTTAATATTCTGGATTTGACAAAGTACAATCCAGATGAACCAGCCAGTGTAAAAGCCATGAAAATATACTCAGATGCCAAGGCACACAAAGTAAGAAATATCTAATCTCATGGAAGCAAATTAAAAAATGTGTATGAGAGATAAAATTTTACTTTTTAAATATGAGATATTGATATACAGTGAGACTTTGTTCTCTTGAACTCAATGGGACCAAGGAAAACTTTGAGATATTTGAGGATCCAAGGTAAAATACTTAAAAAATAAGTATTTGGGACTTCCAAATCACTTTGACATATCCATGGTATTTGAGATATCAGTGTTCGAGATATCGAAGTTCAACTGTATGTATCTTTGAATATTAAAACATTGGCATCAATAGTTTATTTAATTCAGATTGAATGTTTAAAATACAGATAATTTGCTACAAGTATTAAAGTGGTGTTATTTTTGTAGGGTTGGATATGGAGTTTGGCATCACATGAAAACAGGCTATGTTCTGGGTCCTGGGACACCTATATCAAAATGTGGGACCTCAATAATGGAGTCACTGAGTGTAACAAGTACAAGTAAGTCATTCTTTACAAACTAAGAAGAAAATATAGCTTTGCGAGTTTTTGCTGTTATCAGTCGGCATCTCAGCTGAAAATTCTATTAAACAGATGTAAATCCGCCATTCTTGGAATCCACTTTGAAGCCAATCAGATATTTGCTGCAGGATATGATCGACATATTTACATCATTGACCCTCGTGATGGTGAGGTCCACAGGAAACGTCACCATCGGCGACCTGTTCTGTGTTTGGCAGCAGACGACAAGTACATTGTAACAGGGAGTGAGGATAAAACAGTGGCTGTGTTTGATAGGAGAGCTGGACAGGTGTACAAAACTATACAGGTAAATAGAAATTTTTGATTAACAAATATTATTTTCAACATTTGGGATTTTCATGAAAAATGTTTGTCTCTAGAAGTCATTTTTCTCTTTACATTAAAAATTTTTCCTTTGGAATTTTTGTAGTTGGAGAGTTATGCAATGGATATCTCTTTTGGTCATCAACAACTCTGGGTAGCTGCTAAAGATGGAAATCTACAGTTGTATGATGCTTCTCTGGGGCAGTTTGAACATATAAAGGCAAGTGTAGATTTATATCAAATGAAATCTTCCTCCTTTTTATCTACCCGGTACTGCTTCGTATATAGAATCTAATTATGATATATGAATTTTACTCATGAAAAGTAAAAATAACTCTTTTATTATCCATGGATATGTTATTACTAAGTTCTTCTTTGAATTATTTTTTGGGTGTCAAGAGTATTGTAAAATTTTGTGTAATGAATTTTAAAAATTTTAAACAAGACTTGCAGTTCTCCATGTGAGAAATTTAATTTAGTGTAACATAACGAATTATGATCATTCTATCCTCTATAGACATTTGATGTTGGGCACTCTGGCAAAGCCACTGGAGTTATCTACACACCAGGAGCAATATTCTCTTGTTCTACAGACAACACAATCAAAGTACTGGATCCCAGTCTTTATCCAGAACCTCTCACAACAATCACTGACCATACTGCTGATGTGTCAAGGGTAAGTAACCAGAGGGCTTCAGAGGTTTATGTGAATGGGGCAATTCAACTGTGTTAAAATATTTTGTTCTCTAAGACATTCAGAAATGTCCCCCCCCCCCACCTAATTTTATATTCATTTACACAATATATTTACAGCTAGCCTATCAGAATGGAGTTTTAGCAAGTGCAGGAAGTGATGTCAGTGTGGGAGTATGGATGCCAAAACAGACATGATGAAGTGATCTTTAGATTGCAGTCAGAAGTTCCAAAGAAGACCTGAATTTACAAGTTGAAGCACTCCTGCTTCATGTGTGAATGACCAACTTTGTGTTTTATATAATATTTCATCAAATATTATAAATGCAACAGAATGCTTGTACATTGTGATAAGAGTATTTATTTATCTTAGGGAATATACATCATATTTATGCATGTACTCATTATGACATTTCTATATAAATAAATGTATATGTACATGTATCCTGTATTGTGTTTGGTAGGAGTTTAAATGTTAGTCAATACAGATACTGTAAACCAACTATTATTCACGTCAACTTTTATTCGCGATTCGTCAGTATGAAAACAATCCGCGACAATTAATTTTCGCGACTGAGGAAACATTCTCTACAAATACAAAGCAAAATAATGGTTTGCGGCGATTAATATTCGTGTGATAAAGTAGGTTGCGAAACTCGCGAATATTTCTTGTATGCGAAGTTGGTTTACAGTAATTTCCATACTAATACAGTTTTGACCTGATTGCAATAAAACTTGGTAGATATATAGAATACACCAAGAGGCATAAGTCTTTTTATATAGTATATTCCCGAGTTTCTCAGGCACTGTTGCACTAGGTAAATCACTGCCTGCATTAATAATTTTCTTTACATATTAGGGTACTAACTCAATTGTTGAAAAAGAAAATTAAGTTATTTCCCTTTTCACCCAAACCAAGTTAAGAAATATTAGATGCATGTTATAATAGTTTTTTTTTTTACTTATTAAACGTTTTAAAAAAAATACATATGTGGAAATTCTTAGCAAAGCAAGTATTTTATAGAGCAGTATAAAAGCATGGGAAGCAGTAATGTGCAGTTCATTTGGAAAAAATAAGGGGAACAACAAAGTGGATGATAAAAGATAGGTTCATGGGAAGCTCACTATCCATGGCTAGGAAAGCTATGCACTCTAGATTTAGCGTGAATTCAATAAAAAATAAAAGCGCAATTAGCTAAATCTTGAAACCCCCCCCCCTGCGCCAAGAGTAGTACGAGGCAATTTATGTCACAAGTTTTGTGGAAGGGATGTTAAATTTTACAGGTTTTGAATTAAAGCTAGGATACTCATTATTCAGAAGCCTTTCCGTCTTCTTTTTGTTGGGGGTGCATTTTCATTTAATGTGAAAATATGATACAACTATATATAGTTAAGAAATAAAATAAATTGTAACAGGAAAAAAACATAAAATAGTAAACTAATGATTCATTGAACAATTAGATGTTTTCATATCATTTAGGGGGGGGGGGTTAGAAAAATGAATAAAAGACAGAAATTCTCTTTTTCCTAATGAGGAATAAATACATTGGGCACGATGGGCATGCTTGTTTGTTAGTAAAGCAGTGCCCAGTAGAAAATGATTTCGACAGATGGTATTGGTCTATATAAAAAATGCAGATTTTTCTGAAAAGAAAACTTCTTTCATTTTTTTTATGTTTTAAATAATTAAGGTTTAACGTTAGAGCTTATGGGATAGATAAGCACTTCATTGGCGAGACTATTTTGTAAACAAACATAGAAATTAAAGGCAGGATTCCTGACTGGATAACCTGAAATAATTTAATTTTGTTTGTATTCTAGCCTCTGATTGGTTAATATCCAAAAAGGAACACAAATTATTTCTGTATAACCTGGTTTGGTATGGGGACACCCCCCCCCCCCTGACAACCAGCTGAATCATCTGTATGCATACAATCCTCTCATTTCCAGTCCTCGGGATTCATGGAAAATTCCAGATTTAATAAATATACCTTTAACTTCAAACAATAATTCGATCTTACCACATGTAAACAAGCTGCTAGGCCTATGTATCAGTTTTTACCTCCCCTCGCTTCCCATCACTTCCGTTACTTCTGTTACTACGGTTGTATTATTGAGCGGCAAATTTGAACTAATAAAAAGCAACGAAATTTTACACCCATATTTATTTAATGATTTTAAAATTAAATTATAAGGAATGACTCTAATTCTTGGCCAAATTATTCGAGTATAACCTGGTTTGGGTCAGTTTACGCTGTTTTATAATCCGCTTCGCGGATTATAAAGCGTAAACTGATCCAAACCAGGTTATACTCGAATAATTTGGCCAAGAATTAGAGTCATTCCTAAAATAATAGTTAAGACTAAAATAAGCATATGTGTGGGTGGAGTTAATTATAACTAGCATTAAATTCCAAAGATGCATTTTAAAAAGAAAATAAAAAGCAAATGAACGAAAGTGTGCAGTCTTGTTCAATACAAAAAAAAAATCGCTATTACTTGAGAATGATTAATTCTAAATAAAATTCAAATAAATTCAATACGTCAAAGAAAGGAAGAATGCTTGATATCAAATTACCATGTCACAGTTGATATTTAATTACATATTTTGTTAATAATTTGTATTTGATTAGCGCGCATTGCTAATATAGACCTGTTTATGCAAACGAGGTGTCAGACATCTCGGCCCAACGACACCTCGGCCCAATGACATATCTCGGCTCAGTCGGGTCGGCCCAAGATTTAAGACAGGTCGGCCCATACATGAGACACCTCGGCCCAAGCAAAATTTTACTATGAATTTTATATATTCTTGATAAATATTTATTGAAAAAAGGACATGAATAAACTATCAAGATTTCTTAAAAAGATCTTCCACGAGCACATTGACGATATTCAAGGAATGAGAAGATAAGTGCTAACTGATAAACAAACAAAATGCCGCGGCGCATCCTTTGGAGGGTCAAGTGCGTGTTATATTGGTTACAACTGGGGGTTAATTACGAGCAGACTTAATTGGGAGACGGTTATTAAAGACGTTTACATCCAATGATTATTTTCTCATTGATTTCTTTAAAAAAAAAATCCATTCATAAAGAACTACGCACGGTAACTCCCGATTCCCGCCTACATTTTACAACCATTTAATTCAATATTGATAACAATTTGGCCATAAAATCTTTGTTTAATACAAAGAGCAGTTCAATGGTAATTGATTAATTATTTTAATTCCAGTGCTAAATAGTAAAATATCCCTAATTCCAGCTCCTGAAATAAGGGGGGTAGACGATATTTTCCACTGAAATTGGGCAATAAAGCATCACCATATTCTGAAATAGTCTTGGATATGAATAAATGTTTCTTAAATCTTTTCTTATGTTTTATGCATATAAAATTAAGCATATATATTAGTAAAATATAATGTTTCAGTTGTAAAGCACTTGGAAATTGCTGGAAAAAATAAGCATTTTTGTTGTTTTTTGTATATAAACATATCCCCCCCCCCCCCCCGTGAAACACAAAAAGCTTTGGTATGAATTTGTGAAATGACAGTCCATATTACCCGTTAAAAGGAATTTTTGTTTCAAGGGGGGGGGGAAGATGTTTTAAAAATATTTTCCGTTTTCCGTTGATTTCTATAGTGAAAAACACGAGTTTTACCAAAATTTTAGAGTTATCTCTCGTTGTTTTCCCAAAGAAGTAATGTTTTATGAAAATCCATATAAACAGGTTGGGGGGAAACGTAAATTCCGCTATAATAGTGGTATACCACTATTATAGTGAGATTCCGCTATATTTTCAGCCGTAGTTGTCCTCGATTTCATCAAATAACATACTTGCTGTTTAAAGCGCAAGTTATGATGGGAATAAAAATGAACAATAATTGGCATCCTTACATATTATGAATTTTATTTAATTTTCTACCGATGCGTTTGATAATGCGAACACACTTTTTAAAGCGGAAGTTACATTTTTAACATAGCAACCAGTGATTGCGGTAGTATTGAACAAAGACTGACTCTTAATATCTCTCTCACATGTGCACAAATTAGTGCTTGTAATAACTTTCAACCCATTTTGGAATAGGTTTGTCGATTTTACAGACGAAAAGATGATTTTTGCCTGCATGGTGACGTGTACGGAGGCCCGTTATGACAAACGAAAAAAAGCTCATTACATGTTTACTTTATTCTGATGAAACCGATTTGTATAGTTTTTGCAATAAATCGTAAACAATGATATAAGATGTCATTTCTGCAGGTAATTACATATACATTATATGACATTAGTTTCCGGAATGTTAAATTTTTTTTGAAATATTGATTTTTGTATTATGACAAGTAAAGTTAGATTAAAAAAAGAAAAATCTTTCTAAAAACTATTTCAAAAATTATATGTATAAGCGATTTTTGTTGGGAATATTTGGCGTAATTTCTCAGAAGAAACATTGGTGCTTAATACATGTATTATGATTAAACCAAGTAATGGCGAGACATAAATTAATTATATGTTCATTTAATTATGATATAGCTGCAGTTTCCAAAAATAGAAGTATGTTGAAAATTATTAATAAAAGACACCAGGGAGTATGACACAACTGCTTCTTTCCTTAAATATTTTACTAGAGAAAGAGATTGATGGCAAACTAATAACTAAACTTACATGGTACATGTAATAACTACTTTTTCTAGCGTCAACTTCCCTTATTATGTAGCAATACAATATACCATATTACCTGCATGTGGGATTAATGTCTTAAATTATTAATTGATTCGATACACATTACGAACAACAAGGGGTCTCGGTTTTAAGAGGGTCTTCCACCTATCCCCCCCCTTTTTTTTAAATCACAAATCCACCTATTCCCGCTTGCAAATAACAAAATGAGTTGAACGTTCATTTGTGTTTATAACAATTATGTTAATTACATCCCAACTTAGATATATCTGTGTTTTGTAGAATTTAATACACTTTAAGACAGAAAAATACAATAAATAAATCGATGAAAATGCAATGATTGATTTTACTTAATTTTGTACATTTTCTGACAGAAAATAAATAAATAGATGTAAGAAAAATATAATGTAATTCACTCAAATTTTTGCACTTTAAGACAGAAAATAAATTAAATGGGTTCAATTTTTTTTTTCAATTTGCTTGAAATACTGTATGAAATATGAAGATAACAAACAGTAATCGATCTCAAAAGTCCATTGAAACAATGCAAATTTTAAACAGAGCAAACACGAACCTCTAAAAAACATCAAAGATGGGATCAGGTGTCATGGAGGAGTGAGCATCCCCTGCCGACAACGCAGGTGAGTTAAAGCTCGGTATAGGCATTTCTATGCAAATAATCTAATTATTTTCTATATCTATATCTATTACACAGAGAAAGCTAAAACTTATCGTCTAATACATACTTGGTACCCACGATGAGATAGCCAGTATACATTATGACGTCATATTATGACGTCATTGTTCTTTACTACACAAGATTATAATCGATATCAACAAAAATGCTGTGGCGCAAGGGCATGTTCTATTTTATTTAATTGAAACAAGGTACATTTAGAAGCAAAATATTCCAAAGTTTGCTGGTATTGCTGCACAAATATAAACAGCTCAGTTGTATAATTTCTATTTGTAAAGTTTTAAGTTGAATAAGGGTAAAATGCACAGTCCGGTATAAGTTTCCTCAAATTCCGATCAAATGAGAAAATGCCTAGGATTTGTGCAGTAGTTTTAATAATCTATAGAATATTCTTCTTAGCATTATACAATTTTTATGTAAAAATAAATAGGATAATCCCTTGCGCCGAAACTGTTTTGTTGATATGTTTCATAATATGACGTCATAATGTGCCCTGGTTATAATATATCGTGGTTTCTAAGTATGCATAAGAAAATAAATCAACCCTTTCTCTGAATAATAAATATACCTCTTATGCGTTTTTATTAGCTCATTTGCATAGAAACTCCTATACCTAGCTTTAACTCACATGCGAAGTGTGTTCCTGTGATAGGAAAAAAAACGAAAAAATAACCGTACGCGAAAACAATTCAATGTGTATATAATGGCTTCTTTGTAGTTAAAAAAGCGGGCTTAACATTTTAGCGGCTGTGGCGAGACAACGATGCACTAATTCATGATAACTATTAATAAATGAATTTTGCAAAGTCCATGCTCGACAGGGGATGCGTACTCCTCCATAGCACCTTATCCTACCTATTCGCTCTGCAAAAAAATTATTGCTCAAATGGTCTTTTTTCGTTATCTTCATATTTATCTTCATATTTCTGTTTCTTCTTGTATTTCGTTTATTTACAACAGAATAATCTACTTCTGGTAAATAGGATTTCATTGTTTCTTTTCCAGTGCATATCGTAGTTAAATATAAAATTTCATGCAAGTTAGAGAATCAATAAATCGTGCAGAATTTATTTTACGTCACGTCTACAGGTAATTCCATGCACAAGTGTAATTCTTCTTTTCTTGCTAAGAATAATCATTTAAATTCATGGATTCATCATCAAGAAGGGAAACATTATACACAAACTTAAGATTACTTCGAAAAGTGACATATTATATATATTGCTTACAATTTAGACGACACAAATCGGTTCCATTAAATTGTACATGTGCTGAGCTTTTTTTTCATTTGTCATAACGGGCCTCCGTACCCGTTACCATGCAGGCAAAAATCACCTTTTCTTCTATAAATTCGACAAACCTATTCCAAAATGAGTTGAAAGTTATTACAAGCACTAATTTGTGCACATGTGTGAGAGATATTAAGAGTCAGTCTTTGTTCAATACTACCGCAATCACTGGTTGCTATGTTAAAAATGTAACTTCCGCTTTAAAAAGTGTGTTCGCGTTATCAAACGCATCGGTAGAAAATTAAATAAAATTCATAATATGTAAGGATGCCAATTATTGTTCATTTTTATTCCCATCATAACTTGCGCTTTAAACAGCAAGTATGTTATTTGATGAAATCGAGGACAACTACGGCTGAAAATATAGCGGAATCTCACTATAATAGTGGTATACCACTATTATAGCGGAATTTACGTTTCCCCCCAACCTGATAAATATCAATATAAATATTAAAAATCATTCGAATATCTTAACTTTTGAAAATTGACTTGGAGGTAGGCGGGAGAACAATACTATCGTTCGCAGTTCTTTATTATATCGTCGCTTATAACTAGTTCGAGTCCGTTTTTTTTTCCTCCTTTTTTCCATGCTACTAGTATTAAAGCAAGTGTGATTTTCAAAAAAGAAACATACAATGAAGTACAGACCAAAAAATGCAATTTATTTTACATATATCTTTATACAATAATTTATATAGACATATAGATCTATATATAAAAAAATAAAAATAAAAAAAATTGTCTTTCATTTCTTCTTTTTTTTTAAATACAAGATTAACGATCGTAACCATGATACTGCAAATTTATTATTTTTTTTAATACATTTTCCACAAGAAGTAGATGTAAATGAAAGATATATTGATCTAATTTAGTTGGAAAAAATAAAGCGATAATCTATCAAAGACCCCCCTTCCCATTTTTTTAAATCCAATATAATAATAAAAATATCAAAATCTGTTATTTTTTTTCATTATAAAATTATGCTTGGGCCGAGGTGTCAACAATCTTGGGCCGACCTGTTAGGGCCGAGATGTCAAGCGTGACTGACCGAGATGTCTGTCTACCCGAACGAGTGCCATGTGTGAATGTTTTGTTTTGTCACGTGATGTTTCTATTTTTAGCATACAAACTGACCAGGGTATAGTGCGACCAGTGGACAGACTACTATTTGATGATTAAAGCTGAACATTACTCGTAAAAGGCATTGTCCATCAAATTTCTCGTTCATCGGCGCTATCCCCTGTAACCCCTATATAAGCCGCAGATCTCTAAACAGCCCAGGTATTTCGCTGCAGAGGTCTGACGTGTATAGACGTCACAAAATTTTACCAAAATCAACAACATAAAAACTTACGACTTTTTAACTTTATATACAACCATTCCCAATGATAAATTAAGGTCCAGGCTTTTTGATATCATTGACAGCTGCTTTTTCAATAAAAATGGAACTCGTAAATTTATTGGTCTGTAGAGACGACTAGAAAGGGTTAAGAGGTGGATAAAATATACAGGTTGGGTAAAGAATATGTCTAGAATTAGGGAATGAAAGGTCGCTGATTGACCAATGCTGGAAAGTAGCGAAATACATTCCCAAAGTGCGCAGAAAATCTTGCGCCGTAAATTGCACCATATTTGCATTACGGGATCTGCAGCGTTATGGTCAAAAACTAAAAAGATATAAAACTATAACGCTACAGTTTCTGCAGCTAAATTAGCATAAAATCTCCCTTTTATTAAATATGTTATTTTTTCTAACCCCTCTATTTTTTTTTAGTGGAAATAAGGATTTTTTTTCACTCCCACCTCGACCCCCTACCCCAACCACCGGCTTAATTGTGTCTTTTTATTCTATAAATTTTGTCATCATCATCATTTATTTGGTATCATATGTATCATACATAAAACAAATACACATAAATAATACACATTTTGTTAATATTTGGCACTTGTCCTGTAATTTAATGTTCCGAAAGGTTTGAATAGTCTACTTCAATGAAAATTGCATTACATATGCCATTTAAACTTATGGAAGATTTTCCCGCAAGCTGAAAGAGAAAAAATGTATGCGGTAACGCAAGTTTATAGATGTTCTACGCTGTTCTAAGGGAAATCACTCTAATTTCTTACACGCGTGCTCGTATCAGGCTCAGCCACATGTACCGTATGTTATGTAAATATTGCTCAAGAACTTACGATTTTCAATAGTTTTTCCGTCCCTTGTAAAAATTTATGATGACAGCACCAATAATAACACAGGTAATTCATATGGATGTCTATAATTTCTTTGCTTACAATACCAGAGTTCATAAATTGCCTGACAGATTTTTGTCAACTGTTCAATTATTGTAAATATTCTTTTAGGCCAAGCAAAATTTTAAATTTACATTTGTAAGTTATATTTCAAACAGCAAGTATGAAATTACGCAGAAAAGCAATTTTACCTACAAAGAAATTATATACTTTACCAGAGACATAATTTAATAATTTATGTCTCTGACTTTACTTTTAATAATCTGAATAATAAAATTAAATATATAACTTTATCTTATATTGTGGTCTGAATATCGTTGACAGTTTTTTCCACCTCTGAAGAATGATCTTATATTAAGAGCTGCCAGAGGTGAGAGGACAGAGCGTACACCAGTATGGCTGATGCGTCAAGCAGGCCGCTATTTATCAGGTCAGTTTTAACATGCCAATATCTGACACAGTGTTTTCCCTGTATTTCAAAGTAAAGGGTTAGAGATCAATTGTAAAAGGCTTTGGGTTGAAGTTTATGACAAATCTCTGTGGACCTTACAACAATTAAATTTTGATTTTTTTATTTCAAAGAGGCATTTTTATCAATTGAAGCAGTCAATTTAGCCGGTAGCTGGATCTTAGGGAAAACATTGCTGACATCACCTTATCTGAGAACCTTAAAAGTTTATCTACTCTGTGATAGAATTGAACGTTTGGTTGTTCTGACATCCCAAACTTTTTCAAAATGCATTTCTATAAACACTATTTGGATACTTACTTATGTAAAAAGCTGACATTTAGTGGGATTGGACATCTGGATAATTTCAAGAGATATTAGTATATAAGTCAAATAGGCATAAATTATTGTTATTTTGCAGAATATGGAGAATTTAAAGAAGAACATTCAGTCTCATTTTTTGATATGGTCAGAAACCCTGAGTTTTCATGTGAGATAACTCTTCAGGTTGGTAACTTAGTTTTTTATTTCAATTTTTTTTTTTGTTAGTGGTACAGTAAACAGTGATTATTAACAGGGCTCGATCAAAACTAAGGTTTGTTCGATTGTCCATGTCCAGTTTATTTTGTGATCAGACAAGCTAATCTCCACAAACACTTGTCTGATCAGAGAAATAAACTTTTTTTTTACCATTATGGAATAGTATGAATAAATCCCCACAAAATTATTCATACAACACTGTGATGTTTATTAAACACTGTAGCAAACATCTAAATATAGATAACTAAATAAAATCTTAAGGACTTAGTCATACTTCACAAATATAATGAATTAATGGACTAGCACAATATCAGTAATATTTTTATTTTCATGATTAAAGAAATCTTTATACAAGTCAGTAGTTTTACTTTAGAATTGGACAAGTAATGAGTGCATTCTCACAAGTCACATTTGTTGGTAACTCGTCCGATGGACAAGTGGATATATTTTAGTTTATGTTGTACCCTCATTAACAACTTCTGGAAATCTGTAAAATTTCAACATAAATTGTACTTTCAGCCCTTGAAGCGGTTTAACCTTGATGCAGCTATTATCTTCTCAGACATTTTAGTCATTCCACAAGCTTTAGGAATTGGAATTGAGATTGAAGAAGGAAAGGTATGAAGACAAGAATATGTATCCTTTCTACATGTACTATGTTGTTTTATCATGTGACATAATGTACAATATTCTTCATGCATACACCTTGGTAATAAAATGTATGCAATTTTAATTTTTAGGGCATGACATTTGACTTTTTACTCCAAACCCCAGAGGATCTGAAAAAATTGAACACAATAGTTGATGTCACACAGGAACTCCATTATGTGATGGATGCCATTACTCTTACCAGACAAAGACTGGAAGGAAGATGTCCCCTCATCGGGTTCTCTGGTGCCCCTGTAAGATATTTCTCACCTCAGAGAATAAGTACTCAAAGAATTTCCAAGTTTTTTTAAGCATAAAAAGTAATTATTTAAGGACTTCGTATATAGATTTTAAAATATTTAAGAGATATACCAAGTTATTTCAACTCTCGTATGTATTTAAACAGATTGGTGAATATTTATGAGAAAATTCAGCATCATATATTTAATAAACACTTCTTTTGTGAAATGTTCCTGCTTAGAGGATCATGAACATTTACAATAACTTTGTTGATTTATTTAACTTAGTGGACCATCATGAAGTATATGATTGATGGCAGCTCAGCACCCCCCGTCCCCAAGGCCAGGAGGTGGCTGGTAGAGTATCCTGAAGCCAGTAACACACTACTGCAGCTTCTGACAAACAAAACAATAGATTACCTTGTAGCTCAGGTCAAGGCTGGGGCACAGGTATAACCCTGGTAGCTGAAAATTTAAATCTTTTTTATAGCTAACATATATGTACAAAACTTTGTCTGTATCCATTATTTTGTTTGCTCATTTTAGATGCTGCAGGTGTTTGACAGTAATGCTGGTGAATTGGGTCCAGGATTGTTCAATAAATTTGGGCTTCCTTACCTAAGAAAAGTGGCTTATGGGGTCAAGGAGAGACTGACAGAACAAAATATAGAACATGTTCCTATGGTGAGAGTCTGTAAGATCCTTTTTTTGGTTGCATGCACATTTCGAAAACTTGTCTGTGGCTAATTATGAAAAGGAATTTTTTGCTCACCTCAATGAAGCTGAAAGAGCTTATGTAAAACTGGTTAAAGTAGCAGTTTTTGTCCAAGTACTTCCTTGCTGTAAATTGATCAGAATTGTATGGATGATGCTTCAAGTATGTTTCATTGTACTATGTGTACTATTGTCACTCATTTTCTGGATGAGTGATCAGGTTCAAGTTTTAGGAGCAGGTTCATTCCAACTTGAAGCCCTACCTAGAGCAAACTTGTATGGATGATACATCTATGGATGCATAATACTAGACTTGCTTGTTGGATCCAGATGAGTGATCAAGATTTTGCAGCAGGTCCATTACCAAGAAACTATAAGGCCAACTGGAGCAAACTTGCATTATGAATCTAGGGATGCACACTAGCAGACTTGCTTCAGATGATGGATTTGACATACCGGTATATTTCCTGGGTGAGTGAAAAGATTATATTTCTGAAACAGACTTATTCCAGTTTTATTTTAAGCCTTTCCTAGAGCAAACTAGCATGGATAATACATCTAGGGATGCACACTACTGGATGCATCTGACCTACATTTCTAGATGACTGACCAGGTTAAGTTTTTGGAGCAGGTTCATTCCCAAGTAACTGCAACCCCTGCTTTGACCAAACTTGCATAAATGTTGCATCTAGGGATGCACAATGCTAGATTATTTGTTTAATGTGGGACTTTGCACACAAAGAGAAAATTCATGGAGGTGAGCTCTGTAATCTTTGATTGCTTATGTTAACCTTAAACCAAGGTATAAATTTTCTTTAAATAATTTCTACAACTGTTTTACAGATAGTTTTTGCCAAAGATGTTCATTTTGCCCTTGAGGACTTGTCCAATAGTGGTTATGATGTAGTAGGCATTGACTGGACCATTAAACCAACACATGCAAGGTTGTTATAATAGTCTTTATCCAATTTGCTCTTATTTTAGCTCACCTGAGCTGAAAGTTCTGATCACCCATTATCTGTCATACGTCCGTCTGTAAACTTTTCACATTTTCAACTTCTTCTCAAGAACCACTTGGCCAATTTTAACCAAAGTTAGTACAAAGCATCCTTGGGTGTAGGGTAGTTTAAATTGTTAAAATGCAGGGCCATCCCTCTTCCAAGGGGAGATAATCAAGAAAAGATAAAAATAGGGTGGGGTCATTAAAAAATCTTCTTCTCAAGAACCAGTGGGTCTGTAAAGCTGACAATTATGTGAAAGCTTTCTGAGGTAGTGTAGATTCTGAATTGTTCAAATCATGGCCCCGAAGGCTAGGATGGGGCCACAACTGAAAATCAAAGTTTGACATTGAAAAATATAAGGAAAATCTTTAAAGATCTTCTCATATACAACTGGGCCAGAAAAGCAGAAACTTGTGTGGAAGCCTCCTGGGGTAGTGTAGATTCTAAATTGTTCAAATCATGCCCCCAAGGTTAGGATTGGCCACAATAGGAATTCAAAGTTTTACATTGAAATATATAGGAAAAATCCTTAAAAATCTTTTTCTCAAGAACCACTGGGCCATTAAAGCTGACAATTATGTGGAAGATTCCTGAGGTAGTATACTGTATAAATTGTTCAAATCATGGCCCAAGGGGGTAGGTTGGGGCCACAATAGGGAATCAAAATATAAAGGAAAAATCTTTTAAAATCTTCTTCTCAAGAATCACTTGGCCAGAAAAGCTGAAACTTATATGGAAGACTCTTGAGGTAGTGTAGATGCTAAATTGTTCATATCATGGATCCTGGGGATAGGATGGGGCCACAATATGGACTCATATTTTTACATTTAAATGTATAGGAGAAGTCTTTAAAAATCTTCTTCTCGTGAACAGCTGGGCCAGAAAATCAGTAACTTATGTGGAAGCTTCCTTAGGTAGTGTAGATTCTAAATTGTTCATAACATGCCCCCTGGGGGTAGGGTGGGGCCATAATTGGGAATCAAATTTTTACATTTAAATGTATAGGAAAAGTCTTTTAAAAATCTTCTTCTCGTGAACAGCCAGGCCAGAAAAGCTGTAACTTATGTGGAAGCTTCCTTGGGTAGTGTAGATTCTAAATTGTTTAAATCATGGCCCCCTGGGGGTAAGGTGGGGCCACAATAGGGAATCAAATTTTTACATTTAAATGTATAGGAAAAAGCTTTAAAAATCTTCTTCTCTTCTTCTGATGAAGAACTACTGTGCTGGAAAAGGTGAAACTAATGTGAAATCCTCCTGAGGTAGTGTAGATTCCTAACTGTTCAAATCATAACCCTGGGGGTAGACTTGGGCCTCAATAGGGATTCAAAGTTTTTCATTGAAATAATTAGGTAAAAATTTAAAAATCTTCTTCCCAATAACCACTGGGCCAGAAAAGCCCATGGGCTCTTGTTGGAATTTTGTGATAATCAAGTTGTTTTGACACCCAAGCCAAATTCCAGTATCATCAACTCTCTGCAAAATTATTATACCCCCCGCTTGAAAAACAGGTGGTATATAGTGATTGGGTGTCTGTCCTTATCTCCTTCTGTATGTCCTTCAGTACATCCTTCCATATATACATAACACATGGGGGTACCCATCTCTTATCCTCAACTCCTACCATATATTGATAACACATGGGGATACCCATCTCTTATCCTCAACTCCTTCCATATATACATAACACATGGGGGTACCCATCTCTTATCCTCAACTCCTACCATATATTGATAACACATGGGGATACCCATCTCTTATCCTCAACTCCTTCCATATATACATATCACATGGGGGTACCCATCTGTTATCCTCAACTCCTTCCATATATCCATAACACATGGGGGTACCCATCTCTTATCCTCAACTCCTTCCATATATCCATAACACATGGAGGTACCCATCTCTTATCCTCAACTCCTCCTATACCATTGTGCCATTGTCCACCTCCTGTTTTACAGTTTGAGCAGACAAATATTTTTGGTTTCCCATAGCAAAACATAGACACTGCCATTCTTTCTATAATACATGGGGTACCGATGTCCTATCCACAACTCCTCGTATACCACTGAAAGTTAATGAGACTTTCACAAATGTTTATTACATAGTGTCTTTGTGCACCTATTTTTCATTCCAGTTGAGCAGATATTTGAGGTTCCCATAGCAAAAAGAAATACACTTTGCCATTATACTCATATGAAGGGGTTGGGGGTGGGGGGTTATCATTTTGTGAGCTCAGTGCTCACAGTATCTCTAGTTTATTCAAAATGAAAAAAATGACTTTTCTAGAAGATTTGAAAGATCCCAAATACATACATTTTAAGATATGAATAAGAATTTAATTTTGAGTGTTTTACAGTCATGAAGTTTTTGTGTTTTTTTTTAATGCTGGATAATCCTTTTATGTGACACCATTGCACATTATTCTCTAATATTTTGATGTACCTGTATTTTATTTTGATTCACAGAAGATTGGTAGGCAGTCATGTAACCTTACAGGGAAATCTTGACCCTTGTGCATTGTATGCTACAAAGGTAAACAATATAGCAGATATAAACCAAAAAATAAATACATCTTGAAGTCTCTTGTAATAAAAATATATCTCAATTAAAATTAGAAGAAAGGGTCCTTAGACCTCTCATCTGGGGCCCGTTTCATTAAAAGTCGTAAATTTAAGCCTTAACTTACGTGTACTTCCAGGCCTTACGCCAAAATTTAGTCGGGCGTAATTTGTGTTTCACGAATTGGCGTAAGTCTAGTCATATACGATACGCTTAGTCTCAGGACCAAGTCCTTGACAATGCTGCATTGCACATGCGCAAAAAACATAAACATACGTATTGTGTACAATGTATGTAGAACAACACACATACGAGGGGTGATCAAAAAGTTCGCAAACTAATTGAATAACTTCCTTAAAAGAAATGAAATGAGGTTTCAATGTTTATTATTTTTTAAAGTGATCCTCTCCGAATTTAATGCACATCTGCCATTGTTCTGCCCATGCGCGAATCACGTGATCAAGGCGGTCGCGTGACATGCCTCGTAGCGGTCTGTTCACAGAAGCTAAAAATTTTTCCTTGACTTATATTTCTTACCATGTAAGTTATTTTTTATAACAGGAACAGTCCATCTGTCAGAAATTGCCAAATCTCGGCAATAGGATAGGTGGATAAGGATATCCCTTCCCAGAATTAACATGTTGACCATCACAACCCGAGTCCTCTGTCTTGGGAGCGTCGTTTATCCAGTGTGGATAAAGTATAGGCCCCTTCTCTTTATCATATCTCATATGTTTAAAGTCTAAAGTGAACAATATTTTAGGGATTTAATTATTATACTATTGTTAAGATATTCAACTATTTTTCTAATCGTAACTTGGCAATGTTTCATAACAAATTGCTCGACTACGGACACATTTTTTCCCCGGCTTGCTTTCGCTGAGCAACAGAACAAACATTATTTTTAACCATCTCCCTGCCTTCACTAAAATAATCTAATTAATGATTGGACTTCTGGTAAGTCTATTGTCTTCATAAACCTTGTACAAATTATCATATTCTACTGCAAAGGAATTTTCAAGATATAACGTTAAACTTTACAGCCCTTCGTTTCTCGAGTACGACTGAGTCAACCATTTTTTGTCACAAGTCACCTATATATTGACGTCATTTTCACTTTGTGACGTCACAAACACAGAGCAAAACATTATTTAACATCTGTTATTTATAGAACATTTGTATGACTATATGTGTGCCAAATTTCATTCTGATCTGAATTGTGGTTTTGTAAATATTGAGATAGTTCGCGAACTTTTTGATCACCCCTCGTATATAAACTTAGATGAAAAATTACATAAATTTTAAGGACCTTGTAGAAAACATGCACCTTAATCTAATTATTATAAAATATTAACTTCTTACAACATACCATCCGATTAAACTCCAAAATTTAAGGTCTGAGAAAAGAAATAAATGTTCTTGTAAATGAATGGAAAGAAAGTATTTATTTTGGATGTTTACAGTACCCCCACCCCTTTTATTTTTGATACGGGAAGAGAAAAAGAGAGAGAGTGAAAGGGGGAGGGAGAATCCGTTACAATTTTATGTACTTGACTGTATATTTATGTAACTGGGCATATGATGCACTTCTAAATTATAAAGAATTGATAAAATAAAACAAAATATGCATCATCATGAAAATTTTTTTTCCTATTCTTGTATGACATTACCTTGTACGTCATTCAGTTTGTTCCTAAAAAAAAATGTAGTATTTATTTTTAAAAATGTGGATTATATTCATTTTTCCCGATATAAAAAGGCAAGAATTCATTTTGAAATTTTCAGACATTTATCATTCATTGTTTAAACATTAATACATTGTCATACATGGATGTAATAATTGTAAAATTACAGTCATTTCCGAGTCAAGTTTCTCTGACAGCTGATTCTCAGAAGCTTTCGAGTGACTTTATTGCCCCTAGTCCCTAAGGTAAAATTCTCTTTAATTAGTATTCAATATCAGGATATGCTGACGTTCAAGTTTATTTACAAAATCAGCTGGAATCTTTTTTTCATCTTTTGAACGTTAACAACTTTTTCTGGATGCAGGCGCGGGTCCGTGATTATTTGAAGGGGGGCAGGGTCATCAGTAAACAAAAAATCAATCTGAGAAACTTGTTAAGAAGCTAAAAATTGTAATGGAGTTCTCGAGCACTATATTTTTTTTTAAAAGCCTACCTGGTTTTAAAATGAGTTAAAAAATTAGTTTTTTAATATAGATATTAACCAAAGCTAAAGAAGATAATTTATATAGCTAAATACTGCATGTCAACTACCTCCCCGAGTGGGTGTAAACTCCCCTCCTCCCTCCCCCCCCCCCCCCCCCCCCACCAATCTTCATATTTTTTTAAAATTACCATAAACAATCCATCGTTTGTATTAAAAAGACTTCTTAGAACTGTAATTCTTCTTAAGGAATCAAATCAGTAAAATCGCTTTATTTTGTGTTTGCGCCGAAACTTACGCCTACCCACGAGTAGACGTAAAATTTCGGCCTAACTTTAGTCCGGTGTAAAGATACGCTGTTTAATGAAACGCAAATCTTAATGCTAATCCCGACTTTACACCGGCGTAGCGCTTTGACTGGGTGTACCATCTTTGATGAAACGGGCCCCTGATGTTTATCATTTGATTTGTTATCTTGAGTGTTACCAACGTGGTGATGTCAATAAACTGAAATTGAATATTTTGATATGCTGATATATTTTTCATTTGTACTACTGTAGATCACTAAATTTTCGCAACACCTTATTTTTGCTAGACTGTTGTTTGGTATTTAAATCTGAAACAAAATTTTCACGAATTTTGGTTAATGCTCTTTTTATTTTTTAATGCGACTATACGGTGTTGGTAATTATGTGAAAATAAAGATCTCATGAATAAACAGTACTTCCGTAACAATGCAGATAAATGGAAATCAGTGTAATCTGTCTGTCTGATTGTCAGTAATCACATGTACATGTAAATAAAGCTTTACACATTTTCCATGGACACCTCCCATTACAATGCATATGCTAGATAAAATGGTTTATATTTATACTCTTTGGTATGATGTAATACAATATTAATGCGTTGTAATGAATTTTAGGAGGAGCTTAAACATGCTGTTAAAGACATGGTAACAAAGTTCGGGACCCAGCGGTACATTGCCAACCTCGGCCACGGAGTCATCAAGGACACAGACCCCGAGAGTGTTCGGACATTTGTAGATTCAGTTCATATCTACTCTGAGGAAATTAATGCTAATGCCTAGTCAAACGAAACTTCATGACACTGTGATAAATTATCTAAATATGACTGTATTTTGCTGCAATTAAGAAATGTCTCTGGCCTGTGTCATTTTCCAACTGAGCAATACATATCTGCATCAGACATTTCAATTTTATTTGATATATTGGCTTGTATCTATCACTAATCTTTATTAATGTAAACAGTTTTAATTTCATATAATTTATTTAAGTTGTCATTAATTAGATGCATGTACTAGTTCTGCAATGCCAGATATTCCCCTTTGAATGATCTAAAGCTGTGTTGTAGCATATTCCATTAGAATATTTCTATCCTCTTTTTGTATCTCTTTTTATATCACCTGTCATGTATCTCTTGAGTGTTTTCAGCTTCTTCTCTGGAACCGTTAAACCAATTTCAACCCCCCCCCCCCCCCTTCAGCCTTAGAGGTGAGACAAAACCATTAAGATTAATGTTTTTTTAAAAATACCTTCTTTATTCCTGTTTATCAAGCAGTCAAACTGTTGGCATGATTGAAATAAGCATTGAGCCGTCTACCAAAATTTTGAATTAATGACCCCAAGGTCAGAGGTTCTGAAATTAGGGTGGGGCTCTATTCAAAATTGATCATATAATGAATATGCTTAAGTTCCTTAAGGAGCTTTTTCTCTGGCTCTGGGTATTCAGCATAGAAACAAAGTGCATGGTAATGATGAGCAATGGTGCCTCTTCCAAAATTGTGAAATTCATACCCCCTGGGTCAGGGGTTTAATGTAAGGATGAGGCTCTATTCATTATATAGTGAAAATGCATTACTTCTTTGAAAGTCTTCTTTTCTTCCCCCTGTCTCTGGGTATTTAGCTAACATACTAAGTACATGGTTATGATGAGAAAGGATACGTCTTTCAAAATTGTGAATTTCATGGCCCTTGGGGCAGGAGTGCTGGTGTTATGGCGTGGCTCTATTTATCATTACATGCAGATGCATAAATTCCTTAAAAATCATATTCTCTCCCTATGCATATTTAGCAGACAAACTGTGTAAGAGGTTATGATGAGCAAGGGTGCATCTTACAAAATTTTTGAAATTCGTTGCCCCAAGGTCAGGGGTTCTGGTGTTAGGGCAGGGCTCTGTTCATTATATGGTGAAAATGCATTAATTCTTTGAAAATCTTCTCTGCTTTTGGATATAAAGCAAAAATACTAAGTGCATGGATGTAATAAGCAAGGGTACATCTTTTCTGGGTCAGGGGCCGTGGTGTTAGGGTGAAGCTCTATTGACTATATAGTGAAAATGCATTTATTCTTTGAAAATCTTCTCTGCTCCTGGGTATTTAGCAGATAAACTAAATGGATAATTGTAATGAGCAATGATGAAATTCCTGGCCCTGGTCAGGGTTTCTGGTGTTATGATGGGATTCTTTTGATTATATAGTGAAAATGCATCAATTCTTTGAAATTCTTTTTCTTTTCAGGGTTGTATTATACTCAGGTGACTGTTAAGGCTCATGTGCCTTTTATTTTTTTAAATGATTAATATATACATTTTGAATCTATGGGAGTTGTACCACACTGTGAAGAAAATTGTCCTTGTACCTGTAGTTATATGAAGATGCTGTGTGTAAAGGTTTAGTTATTTGTGTGACATGTCACTCCTTGATTCTTCCAAACAGAAAATCCTACATATATAATAGTTATTTGAAATACTGTCAATAAAATAACAGAATACTGTTTCTTTCAGCATTGTCATCAGTGGTTTGTTTACTGTGCCAAGTTTATATATTTTTACATTGAGAAATTTGGCATGTACAGTATGTTCATAAACTGTGTTCATATATTACAAAAAGTGGAAAGTGGAGATTTTCACTAGAAAGTTGTTACTGACATGTTTAAATAATGCCCACAAATTTTGTTGAATAAATGAAACCGAGTTTTAATTCAAACGTAAAAAAAGCACCCCCCTTACCTCACCCACTTCTTTCCAGTACCTTTTGTAAGAACTTGATGGAAGAAAGTTAGTCTTATGTGTTCCTCACGCAGGTGACAATAATATAAACAAAAACATTTTATTCAAGCCAATTCATTGTGAATGAATTTTTTGTAAAACAAAGAGGGATTAACATTCAAAATGAAAGTTGCTGTGGGCATCTTTTGTTTACAGAGCAGTTTCTAGCTGCTCTTTTTGGTCCTTTTCTGTTGGACCTGTATTTTGATTCTCTTGTTCAGTCTCCTCTTCAACTGACGATAAAGTCGATTCTGTCGTAGTATCTAATGACATGGAATTGATGTCTTCTTTGGCATATTTATTTCCATTTATCTTTATCCCATTACTGTAGTTCTGCCAAAATTGATCTATATCAGTCACTTTTACAGATTTCAATGCAACAGGCAAACTTGATCGGCGCTGTTTGAGATACTTTTGAAGCCCCTCCGTTTTCGAGACATTTTCAATAGAATCCCTTATAGAATTCTGGGTTGGGGTGGATTTCAGTTCGCATTGTGAAGTGGATTTCCTCAGATTGGATTCGGAATTAGCACTCTTAAGAACAACTTCATAGTGTCTCATTACTGCATGCATGGGGCTGGGAAAAGTCTGGTTTCCATTAGAAGCCATGTAAGGAATCTGTTGGTTGAAGTCTTTGGTAATAATTGTGTCGCACTGAAAAGACGGCCGTCTTCTTTTGGAATGCATCACAGAAGTATTATCAGTAGTGCGAGAGGAATTATTCGGAGTTTTATTTTCTCTGTTAGTGGCGTTGTTCAGTTGAGATTGATGGCGAACTGGAAAGTTGACATATGTATTTTCCTCACTGATACTGCTTAGAGCACTGGTAGAGTACCGCCTCCTTGACAGGTGTGAACCCTGAAATTATACATGAATGAAATTTTGTATCGTATAAAAGAGTTAATGATAAAAGTGATTTGTTATGTGAACTAGGAAAATTGCAAAATGTAGATAAATATGTTATTTGTAATTACCATGACTTTGTAAAATACATACTACCACCAAGTGTTATCATTAACTTATACGAAGCAGGGGATACGAAGGAGGGGGGGGGGGTAAAGTACGCAAATATTTTAACAAACGACAAAAGTCATGCATAATGTCTGTTTTCAAACACACGTGCTATTTGTCCGTAATATATCTCAACACATTTAAAAAAGGGCTGAGTAGCAAGGTGTTTTAAGGATGAGATTCCGCCAAACTGTCTTCCTTTTGTCGGCCACTGAAGGGTTATCTGAAGTCATATATATTTATCCTATTTTACATTTATAATTAGGTGCATAAAGGTGGCGGCTTCTTTTTACAGAGTAAATTTATAGCTTCTTGAAACAAATCTTTCTTGTGGTCATGTATACCATAAATATAGAACCGATATGGAATTTTAAAAATTCAATTTTCTGTGCTTTTTTAGCTCTACTGGTCAGAGACCAGAAGAGCTTATGCGATAGTAAGGTGTCCGTCGTCCGTCCGTCTGTCTGTCTGTCTGTCTGTCTGTCCGTCTGTCTGTAAACAATTTTTCAAAATGCTACTCCTCCTACAGTTTTAGTCCGATTTCAATATAACTTGGCACACAAGTAGACTACACTAAGATACATAATTTAGTGCATCGGTTTTTGATTTCGATGGACGGTGTTGCCATGGTTACTAAAAATAGAAATTTCTGTGAAATTCCTTTAAAACGCTACTCCTCCTACAGTTTTGGTCCGAAATCAATATAACTTGGCACACAAGTAGACTACACTAAGATACACAATTTAGTGCATCGGTTTTTGATTTCGATGGACGGTGTTGCCATGGTTACTAAAAATAGAAATTTCTGTGAAATTCCTTTAAAACGCTACTCCTCCTACAGTTTTGGTCCGATTTCAATATAACTTGGCACACAAGTAGACTACACTAAGATACATAATTTAGTGCATCGGTTTTTGATTTCGATGGACGGTGTTGCCATGGTTACTAAAAATAGAAATTTCTGTGAAATTCCTTTAAAACGCTACTCCTCCTACAGTTTTGGTCCGATTTCAATATAACTTGGCACACAAGTAGACTACACTAAGATACATAATTTAGTGCATCGGTTTTTGAATTCAATGGACGGTGTTGCCATGGTTACTAAAAATAGAAATTTCTGTGAAATTTCTTTAAAACGCTACTCCTCCTACAGTTTTGGTCCGATTTCAATATAACTTGGCACACAAGTAGACTACATTAAGATACATAATTTAGTGCATCGGTTTTTGATTTCGATGGACGGTGTTGCCATGGTTACTAAAAATAGAAATTTCTGTGAAATTTCTTTAAAACGCTACTCCTCCTACAGTTTTGGTCCGATTTCAATATAACTTGGCACACAAGTAGACTACACTAAGATACATAATTTAGTGCATCGGTTTTTGATTTCGATGGACGGTGTTGCCATGGTTACTAAAAATAGAAATTTCTGTGAAATTCCTTTAAAACACTACTCCTGCTACAGTTTAAGTCTGCTTCTTATATAATTAGGCATACAAGAAGAATATACTAAGATACATAATTTATTGCATTGGTTTTTGAATTCGATGAACAGTGTTGCCATGGTTACTTAAAATATAAATTTCTTTGAAATTCCTTTAAAACGTTACTCCTCCTACAATTTTGGTCTGATTTCAATCTAATTTGGCACACAGTTAGAATACACTACGATACATAATATGTATTTCTGTTGTTTTTTTTTATTTGGGTGAATGGTGTTGTCATGGTTACTAAAAATAGAAATTTCCGTGAAATACTTTCAAAACGCTACTACTCCTAGTTTTCATTTGATTTCAATATAACTTGTCACAAAAGTAGACTACATTAAGATACATAATTCTATTTATTGTTGCATGTTGCAATGTTTCAAATCCAAGTGCTACTTTTCTTTTGTTATACAGACCAGTAGAGCTACAGTCTCATCAGAGACTTCTGGTTTTTTACGGTGATATAATTAGGACATGCAAATAGGCCTACTTTTTTTTCTTCTTGTTGAAAAATGTTTCGTTCGCACGACTTTGTGTCATTCGCATGAGATCTCGAGCGAGCGATATAACTCGTGTGAACGAGATAATATGCAAACATGCAACGGCATGGAAACGAGATAATGTCTCATGCGATTGAGATAATTATGTCGTGAAAATTACATAATATCTCGTGCGAACGACATATTTTCGAAGAAAAAATTTTCTCTTTAGTATACCACCGTAGGAACATACATGAAGAGAATGAAGAAATTCTTTTCATCTTTTGAAAACCACTTATGCATCCCTCTCCGACTGCTTTATATGAGAAACAGGGAAAATCGCTTACTGTCTGAGGCGATACATATAGTTTGCCATTCTGCATTCTTAAAATATTTACTTATAACACAGAATTTGGCCTTATATTCAGGGATTATTAGTCTAAATTTGGACCGATTGCTTTTATGAATAGGGATCAGAAAATCAAGAAGTGTCCGAATCTTCTTTATTATAAGTAAGGCGATTAGGGCCGATACCAAATGTCTAATACATATCATCGTAATTCCCCTTACAATCGTTCGGGCAGAAAGAAATCACCCAATCTTAGGGCAACGGGGGATCAATTTAATACGTTATGAAGGGGTTTCGAAATTGACACGAGATGTAATGTGGGATACCTGTAAACCACATTGTCCTTATAACAAAAGGAAAAAGATTACTAATCTCTCTCTCTCTCTCCATATTTTTACCAACTAGAAACTGTCTGGCCAACCATTTGCAATATAAAAATGAATAAATAAACAGAAAATCTGTATTAGTGGAATATAGCATTGTTGATTGTAATTCAGCAGGGGGGATTCTTTGAACCCATAATCTACCTAGCGACTATCAGTACGAGAAAACTTAGTAAATGTTTGGAATCTTTTGGTCTACGATTTATGACCAAGGGTCGATTAGAATGCAACTCGTAATCGAAGTATAAAAAAGGTATATTTCAAATTTTCTATACAATGTACTTTTATCGTTGATTTGACAGACACTGTGCAAATTTGATTACCCCAGAACTTCAAACACACCGATTTATTCACTGTTACATTTCTTCTGGCACGACTTTGCCTTTCATCTAAGCTATCAACAGATTGCGGATTTGTTCTTTGTACAAAATGTTTGATTAACAAATCCCGAGTGAATAATTTCGCGCCTTAGTTATATTTTTTCAAATTTTATTTTCAATAACCTTATTATACAGGAGATTAATACTACTATACACAAAAATATGGAAAATGAAAATGTTTATATGGAACATTTCTTAAAGTCAATTAAAGGTTAAATATATCTTAAAATACACCTTGCACTGTTATTATATTAAAACTTTTATGGATCATATATTAATATTTAATAGATGTCAAAACAAGACTAGATAGCAAATTTAACTCAGAAATCACCATATATTCATGTCAGCTTAATTCTCACTGGTGGTAAAAGTTCAATTTACATGTCTAGGGCCTTTATATCTGAAAATCTTGTTACGGAATATCAACAATGTCAACGTTAGCCAAAAATATACCTTAAAAGAGCAATAATAAATATTACAACTAGGGTGTCAAAATATATTTTATTTTGATTCGTTGTATCAACAGATTTAAAAAGCCTCTTTAAAAACACATTGAAACTGTTTAAAGTTTTTCACCTACGTGTTAATATATTTTTTTTTTACTGGACACGCTTTCAACGAACACCTGTAACAACGTGTAACATGCCTTTCGTAGGAATGAAAAAAAAAATGCAGTAAAACCCACAGTGCATAGGGGGCTATTTCCTTTGAAATACTTTAAAAACACTTTAATTGATGACACGATGTGTGAAATCGATGGTAAATATGGGTCCATAATCCAAGGACAGACGTTTAACCTTTTCCCCTATAACAATTTATGGCTCTGTCCGGGAAGGGAAAGCTAGGTTCTTTCAAAAATCTTCGGTATTTTATTTTTAACATGCGCCATGTTACGAAATATATACATTATACAAGGCTATGATTACATGTATTTAGACATTTCAGAATATATAGATAAGAATCTGCTGTAATTCATTTTAGTCGTCAAGCCATGCGAACTTACGCTCTCTACAACTGAGTAATGTTTAATTTTGTTGTCAACACGAAATGGATGGTTTTAAACCTTTTAATAAGTAAAATTTTCTTAGGACGTCAAGGCATATAATTAAGTTTGAATGTAAATTCAAATTTTCCGCAAACAGTATGAAATAGAAACAAAAGGGAAGTAAATGATAATTCCCAAATTTTACCCATATAGATATATAAACATGTATATACCAGATAAATTATCTTTTCCCTGAAGCAAAACTCATATACCTAAAACATCAAAGTAATACAGATTATGACAAAAAGCCCCGTATCCCAATAAAGTTGTACCTTTTAAAACTTGAAACGTCCAATCCCCTTTCTTTTTCTGACACACTATGACTTTTTTTTTCTAAAGATCAAACGGTATTCTACCATTTTTATCCGCTTTTATCTATAAAGTCACATACCATCAAATTAAGTACTAGTATATCATCAAATTAAGGATATCATAAGTAGAAATCACCAGTAAATCAAACGGAGAAGGGGGGGGGTCAATCATGATCATTTGGTTAAAGCTCTAAAATACGTTTGACTTGTTATGAATTTTAGGTGAGAGTAAACGATAAGGCAAGGAAATATAGTTAATATACGTGAAAACGCCTGGAATTTAACCCAGCTGTTGATGTTGTTCGGATGCATGTCTGACATCACACAGTAAATTTCAAAAAAGTCTACCGAATAGATATGTGTTAAAATAGCATAGATAAACCTTGATAAAATGTTCATTAAAAATCTGAAAAATACGTATTAATAAGTGACATTTTTGCTGATAAATTCGCACTTTATAATTTTAAAATGCGTTAAAAGGATTGTTACAGATACACACTCATTCCCGAAAACCTCGATAGCCCCCCCCCCCCCCCCCTGCATTACAAGAGAAAATATATTACCTGTTCCTGTTTTTTCTCCACGATATGCCTGACTTTGACATGATCAACGAGTTCTTTCTGGTGCTCCCTCAGAATATTAAGTTCCTGAAGACCGTCCTGCAGGGCCTCTAGACGGGCTGCGACCCGGGACTGCGGCCTCTGGAGGATTGGGACACGTAATCCTCCAGGGAGATCCTCCATAGACCGACTGCGGGGGACGTAAGTGGGAGGAGTTTTGGGTGCCCTGGTGATTCTCAATATAGCGTCCGTGTCGACAACGGCACCCTCATGTTGCGTGGACCGCATCACTTAGAAATTCCAGCAACCTGACATTTACGAGTTTCCAACGGAGCACAAGATTTTTCACAGCATGAATCTTTACACTTCTTTACTTAGCTTAAGTTTGACAGAGACGTTGAGTCATGTTAAAAAGCCATCCCAAACTATTACGTAAAATGTCTATAAAGGTGTTTAGATACACTTAATCAATGCACCTAAAAATCCCTGTTATAGGTTTTAATGCAGTTGTATCTTTCTTGGCGAACAAGAATCCAGTCTTTATCGCAGTTTGTCGCCGGGGAGGAAAATGACCCAAGAAATAGCTACCTGTATCCTAATCCAGTATTGACTTCCTACACCTGAACTACTGTGATATTCTGAATTTGCACTTTGTTATGTGTGTATCGGTGGAGCGATAATAAAGTGGTCGCGCTTGGAAGTCCCTATACGCCTTTTTATTGCTCTGTATATGTAATATATAGATAGGAGGTTATGCTCATCGCTTCATTGATCCCTCGATGAACGGACACCTGTGATAAAAAGCCCCGGGTCAATATTTATATTGGAATCGGCAGTTCTGAATTTCAGAATTTTCTTTAGTTATAATGCTGGCATGTAGCAAATTGTATTGTTATTGCCTACTTGAAAAGAGATATACCTACCACTTAAGCTTATTTATTTTTTATATCTGTTAATTAAGAAAAGGGGTGTTAATTTATAGAATTTGTGTCGTCTATGATACCAGGTTGAGTGTGTTGTATGTTTCAAGAATCCTTCAGTATGAAATACAACTATTTCATGTTGTCAAAAAATCCTCTGCGCAGTTTTCAAACAAGCACAGGACGGTACGTTGAGGGTATTTTGGGTGCAGGTCGGAGTCATCAAATGTTCACGCTTCAGAGGTGGATGGATTCAGGAACTGATCAGTAAATACTCACCTACTGCATCAGTTCATCAAAGCTACAGTCCATTCACTGCAAAACATGCTTTAAAAAAAAGTGACCAACTTGGTTGAATTTAAATCAATTTCTTCACTTATATCATAAACATAAACAGATCAGGCTACAAAATAACATATAATTATATCAATATCAAAAGAGAGAGCTCTGTTTGTAACACCAAAATAATTTTTATATCAATCAAGAATTAAAGAGCATTTACTTAAAAGAAAAAATTAGCTTAATTCAGATTAGAACATGCGTTTCACAGGACTTCTCTATAACATGAACCAGACTGCCCGACTAAATTAAAACAACTGCAATATAGGACTTGTGATTGTGTGCATGTTGTTTTTAACATTTGTGGTACAGTGAGTCGGAATATCTTTGACTAACTCTGCAATTTAAAGTTCTCTCTCTCTCTCTCTCTCCAGAGTGTATACAAGTAGTGATAAGCCCAGTTGTTGAAAGGTGACTCCAAACACCTGATCATGGAATTTTAATCTTTTTATGAAACAGTCACAGTGATCTATCTAGCTTTTATAAAAATATTTTGTCAATATTGAAGGTGATTAGCGAAAGACGTGGCACATTCTTCTTTAAATATTTATTTATATATTTATCATTCTCTCATCAGCTAGATAAATCTATATTAGTGATAGGGTCAAAAAATATGTTTCTAATTTAACATCGTTAAAATCAACCGAAAATTGTTAGATTTTTTTTTCTTTCTTGAATGAATAAGTAGTATGAAAATTAGAAATATGTCCATAGGACATGAATGTCCCGTCCAATATTCATTAGTAATGCAACATGAAAATTTGTATTAGTGTATGAAGTTTAATATCTTGTATTGTTTCTTTAAAACTGAGTTTTAAACACAATAAAAAGTAAAGTCAAAAGTAATTGGGAAGGTCAAGGCAATAAAAAAAATTGACACAGTTGGACATTTCTCACCTAATATTGTATCAGTGCATAAGCTTACATACATAAATCTTGAATAGTTTCTTTGAAACTGAGCTAAACACAAATTTGAGAAAAGTGATGTCAAGGTCAAAGAAAAGGTCAAGGTGGAAAAAATGTTGATGATGTTGAATAGCTCTCCTCAATATGTATCCGCATATGATGTTTAGCAAAAAATATCTTCATTTTGTTCTTCTAAACTTATCTAACACTAATTTGAGAAAACTAAGCTTACATAAATTTGAGAAAAATGGAATCAAAGGTAAAAGTAAAGGTCAAGGTGAAAAATGTTGGTGCAATAACTCTCATCAATATGTATAATCATATGAAGTTTGATAAAATATCTTGAATAGTTTCTTTAACATTAAGCTAAACACAAGGAACCAGTCAGACAGATATTCTTCATTTCCTCTACAGTACAGAGATTGGTATAGACCTGGCAGTCAAGGTCAAAGTAAAGGTCAAAATCAAAAATGTTGATGAAATTGAACAGCTCTCATCAATATGTATATGGATATAAAGATTTATAAAGATACCTTGAATAGTTTCTTTATATTTAGCAAAACACAAACTTAAAGTCAATACCATAGGAGAGGTCAAGGTCAAAAATATAGATGCAGCTGAAAAGCTCTCACCAATATGTATCAGATTATTAGATTAGATTAAAATATCTTGAATAGTTTCTTTAAATCTAAGCTTAAGACTATTATAAGGTAATCAAGGCCATCTAAAAAAAATTGTTTGGTTGCCCTCTCCCGACCGACTGGCTAAAAATGATCCGACTCAAAACTTTTAATTACCTTCATGAAACATTTTTTATGCATTCTGGAATATAGATTTTGAAAATTCAGCATTGAAATTAGAATTTTCTAAGAAAAAAAATTCACCTACGTACCGACCCAATTTTTTTCATTCTGAGTCAGGGAGAGGACAAACAAACATTATTTTAAAGTTGGCCCAATGTAAAACGACCATACATGTATTTTGTTTTTTTTAATAAATGAATGGTCCGATTTTTTTTTTTATCATGGTAGCATTTTGAGGGTGCTATCAAATAAAAATACCCCACCAAAGGAATTTACATTTTTTTAAATTATTGTTTAATTAATTGCACCTTGAATTTTACATTGATGGGCATCGCATGTGAACTATTAAAATATTGTAAAAGTAATTTAAACTTCTTACAAATATCTTGATGAAAATATGCATAAAATCCCTCTTTCTTAAAATAAGAAATAAAATGAATCATTTACCAAAAATATTTTGACAAAATTAAAATTTTATTCTTTTCATCAAGGGCAGATAACTCTTTAAAACGTTTAAGGTGCAAAACAAATTTGGTTCATTTCATTTTCATCGATATCAAGCAATACATTTTTTAAAACTAGTTCAAAATTGTTCAATGTCTCTTCATTATACATTGAATACCTTAAGAAAACTAAGACCAAGGTCACAGGAAAGATCAAGGTCAAAAAATGTTGCTCTCATCAATGTGTGCATATAAAGTTTGCTAAAATTATCTTAAATTTCTTTGAAATTGGGATAGTCACTATATTATGAAATTAACGTCATGCAAGGTCAAAGGAAAGGTCAATGTAAAAAATGTTGATGCAATTGAATAGCTCTAATCAGTATATGTATTAGCATATAAAGTTTGATTAAAATATCCTGAATATTTTCTCTAAAACTTAGCTAAACACAAATTCAAGAAAGAATGAAGTCAAGGTCAAAAGAAAGGTTAATGTCAAAAAAATGTTGATGAATTTGAATAGTTTTCATCAGTATGTATCTGCATATAAGGTTTGTTAAAATACCTTGAATAGTTTCTTTGAAACTGAGCTAAACACTATTTTAAGAAACGTGAGGTCAAGGTCATATTTTAAGAAACGTGAGGTCAAGGTCTAAGGGAAGATCGCAATGCAAAAAAATGTTGATTCAATTGAATGGCTTTCATTAATATGTATCAGCATATGAAGTTTGATAAAAATATCTTGAATTGTTTCTTTGAAACAGTAACTGAGCTAAACGCAAAGTGTGATGAAAGGACAGACGGGAGGACATAAGGACGGAATACGGACGTGACAAACAATTAGTTCGCCACATGCTTTGTGTACCGATCGTATGTGAGCAGATTTTAATTAGATTGTGACAAATACTATGTCAGAGGCCTGTTCAACAGCGCGAACATTTCTGTTGAAAGGATAAGGCATTTAGGCGAGCGCTCGCGGACGTTCGCTCTGTTGAACAGGCCTCAGGATTTTATGTCAATGAAGCGGCCGAGTCTAGAATTCGCCAAAGTTCCTAGCGAGTCCAGCAGGCCCCGGGCCCATAAAACTTTTGGTTTCAGTCTCACTTTTCCACATATAAATTCTTATAGGTCGGGGGGGGGGTGGTGGAGGTACCACCCAACAATTCACCACGTACCACCACTACCACAAAATAGGTTTGTTATGTTACGGCATTTTTTGGGGTTTTGTTTTGTTTGTCAAAAGATGTGGAATCCCCCCCTGAAAAAAAATCACGGATCCGCCCCTTATTCGAATCCAGTATTTCTTTTTTTGGGGGGGGGGGCATCCCAGACCCCCCCCCCAAAAAAAAAGAAGAAGGAACCCAAATCGAGAAATTCGTTGACGAGCCAAAAAGAAAAAATTAAATTAAATTAATAATAATAATTAAACCTAAACTCCCAAACGAGAAAAATCTATTTCTTGGGGGTGGTGAGCGTGAGCCGCTTTTCTTCACTTCCTAAATTCATATGCATTGAATGGTTAATTCTTCCTTCCTCCTACCAACGTAACAGGGGTTCAAGTTTTCTAAGGGGGGGGGGGGGTCCGCTTGTTTAAGGACATATACGCAACGTACCTTACCTACTGATAATTTTTCAAGATTTTCTTAATTTACGATTATAGTGTCATCGGATGTTAATTCGTAGACAAAAAAATCAGCATGCATTACCATGGTTTTGAAAAGATATCAATTAAAGAAATTTTTGTATAATTCAAAGAAAAATATACAAAAATTACTAAACACATATTCTAGATGTTTTGTTTATCCAAACTTGCGTATGTCGATCCTTAAGTTTTGTGACCCCAGAGCTGGGGCATTGTCCGGTGGGAGCCCAAGGGGGAATCTCCGTAATTTTAAGCTCCTAAAAGATAACAAATAGTGATCAATATTTTGAATCAAAATTCTGTATTTTTCCCTTGATTAATTCGTTGTATGGCAGTGAAAAATGAAGGGACGTGCACTGGATGCGCCCCGCTGATCCCAATATACAATAATCATAATATTAATAATAATTAAAAATTAGGCCCCTTAGAGACCTTCCAATAGAAAAACACCCTTTCAAACATCACGTGATGCTTCACATGATTTGTCAAGATGTCAGCCTCCATGACATACACACTAGTCGTAGTTACGGTAGTTGTACTCTTTCAAACAGTTTGTATGGTAACCGTATATGGATTTGGATCTATCTCTCATGGAATTATAAGTAAATAATTTATACATTTTTAACCATGTTATCAGTATGTTCATTGAAAACTTGAGTTGTTATATTTTACGGATCTGAATTACTTCAGAAATCTTGTGTCATATTTCCCCTGTTTTATTGATCAGGCTACAGGGCATCTGTTTATTTCGATGGAGAGAACAATTCCAAGACAGGAGGAGAGGTACTTATTTCTCATGGTGATTTTTACATTATCAGCAGCTGATCAGGGACCTATATATACTAATCTTTTACTTTTACGTAAATTACTCGAATTTTATTTGTGGAGAAACATTTGTTTAAAAAACACTGTAAACACTCTGAATGGTGAAACCACACCCACCAGCACTTTCAACATTGCTTGATGATGGGTGATATATATTACTACGTGTATACAGTTATTGACTGGGTATGAGGGCAACGTATGATTTGTTGGACTTGAAGGTGAAAATGTTGCCCAATGTTAACCAAACTTGCATGGATGATACATTTAAGGATGCACACTACTGGACTTGCTTCGGATGCTGGATCTGACCTACATTTTCTGGATGTATGACCAGGTTAAAAATGTTGGAGTAGATCTCATTTTTGAAATTCCAAGTAACTGTAAGTCCTGTATTGACCAAACTTGCATGGATGATACACCTAAGAATGCACACTACCAGGCTTGCTTCGGATGCTGCATCTTACCTACATTTTCCAGATGAGTGATCAGTTAAAGTTTTTGGAGCAGGTCCATTGCAAAGAAACTATAAGGCCTTAAATCTGAACCAAACTTGCATAAATGTTGCATCTAGGGATGCACACTACTAGATTATTAGTTTAGTGTGGGACTTTGCCTTACTTAAAGACAACATTCATTTAGGTGAGCTCTGTTATCTCTGATTACCTATGTTTTATTATTCAAAATAGCCTTTAATTATATGGAACGCCAAATTAACATATATTCAAATATTTGTACCTATCTTCAAATAATTGTACCTATATCTTCAAATAATTGTACCTATCTTCAAATGAATTGAAGATAGGTACAATTGAATTAAAGATAGGTACAATTGAATTGGAGATAGGTGTAAATAAATATACCTATCTCTAAATAATTATACCTAGGTACAAATAAATTATACCTATCTTTAATGGAATTACACCTATCTTCAATTCAATTAAAGATAGGTTCAATTGAATTATACCTATCTCTAATTCATTTGAAGATAGGTACAATTGATTTGAAGATAGGTACAATTAGAACATATCCACAAAGGATTTGAAGATAGGTACAATTCAATTATACCTAGGTTCAATTCGTTTTGTGTTATTGAAAATAATGAACGCTCCCTTGGAGACAATATTGAACATGGAGGGAAACGCACAGAGCATACAGAGCGACGACAACGAGGATGAAAGGAGAAATAAAGGTATGTTAAAATGTGCAAAAAGCATTATATATTTATTAAAATATACATGTATGTCAATAAGTGAGCGAAAAAATATATATACCAGAGTACCCCAAAAGTGTCGGAGATCGGTAGACGTAACAGAAATGACGTATCATGAAGGGAGTAGTTATTATTGCCAATATCTTAGTAATTAAAGATAGGTTCAATTCAATTGTACCTATCAATTATACCTATCTTCAATTCATTGCATTTGTACCTATCTTCAAATGAATTGTACCTATCTTCAAATGAATTAAAGATAGGTATAATTGAATTATACCTATCTCTAATTCATTTGAAGATAGGTACAATTGATTTAAAGATAGATACAATTCATTTGAAGATAGGTACAATTCATTTGAAGATAGGTACAATTATTTGAAGATAGGTACAAATATTTGAATATATGTTAATTTGGTGTTCCATATAATTAGCTAAATGTTTAAAATCTCTGGCTTCACAGACTCTCACGATCTCATCTCTGTTGCATGCATCAAAAGAATTGTTTTATTTAAGGAATAACTGTCTTATTTTTTGGATTCATGATGTGATCAATCGAGTGGCTTGCGTGATAATTTGCATAAACGCCGAAGGCGTTTATGCATAAAATTATCACGCAAGCCAATCGATTGATCATCGTCATGAATCCAAAAAATCTGACAGTTATTCCTTATATTTACATGCCCCTGATTCTGCAAATTCCCGTGCTAATAGCCCCGCTTCTGTCTCTATTTGTCCCGCCCCGCACGTGATTTTTTTTAACCGCGCCTATCGATGAACCAGTAGATTTATGTAGAAATAAAGTATTTTTACAATTTGTAATTTTATCTCGGACAAAGACATTGGAAATGTAAATATTGCTAAATATTTGATGAATTACCCAGTAAACATGTACATATCTATTTTATGATTATATGTTTATTTTAAGATTGTACGGGAGAACCCTGATGGATTGTTTGGAGGGAGTGTTTACCCCGATGTGTTCTATGACCCTCAGTGTACGGAAGGTAATCTACATAATTCATGTTGTTGTATATGTTCAATGGATGACACCATATTTTGTTGTTGGTTTTTATCCACTTACCGTAGGCTTTACCCTGTCATCAGTGCCTTAGGTCTAGGAGAAAATCCATTCCTAAGTAACCATAATAAGCCCTACCTAGACCAAACTTTCATGGATAATGCATCAAGGGGTGCACACTACCAGACTTGCTTTGGATGCTGCATTTGACCTAGATTTTCCTGATAAGTGACTGAATTAAAGCTTTTGGAGGAACTCAATTGCCAAGTAAATATAAGTCCTATTTTGACAAACTATGATGGATGATGCATAAAAGGGTGCACACTACCGTACATGCTTTGGATGCTGCATCTGACTTAAATTTTCTGGATGATTAAACAGGTGGTTTTTTTAAAAGGTCTGTTCCCAAATAAGCCCTACTCTGACCAAGCTTGCTTGGGATGCGGCATTTGATTATACATGTATACATTTTTAAAAAGTATTTTATTAATTTAGCATTTTGTTATGAGCATCCTTAACCTACCTGTGATGGATGAATCATTTAGAGATGCATACAAACCAACTTACTTAAGATGCTGCAAGTGACACGTGTTTCTAGTTGTTTAATTAATTACTGGTAAACTAAAATCATTTATTTTCGAGGTGTCAAATTTTCTTGAATTGAGGGAAAACTACTGGTTTGAGGGGATTTAATTCCATGTTTAAAGGTGAAACATCAAACTGTAGTATGAAAATTTTAACATTTCATGGGGGATATGAATTTATGGGCCTCTTCACACCATGTAAACAACAAAAATTAAACCCCCACAAAAATAAGTGATTTAACAGTATCTTACATGGATTTTACTGAACATGACTACCAGTACATTTGTTGATGTTAGCTTCATGGTGTCTTTGATTACCTATGTTTGGGTTTCTTGGACTGAAAAAGTAACACAGTTTTGGTACACTTTTTATGACTGTCACATTGTTATTTTCTTACAGGAAATTACAGCTTTGTTTCCGATGTGACTAAGTCATCCACTTTCTTAAATGTGACTGTACAATACATACTACAGAAATACCCCAAACCCTGGAATTCTGTAAGTCACTGTAAATTGTCAACTTTAAATTTATTTTTTGATATCTAAATTTCCTTTTTTTATTTTGATCACCTGGCAAAAGAGTTGTTGGAAGAAAATGTGACTCATTCATATGTAAGCATGCATATTCAAGAGTGTAATTACCAATATTTGCTCCCAAAATAACTTTGGTGGAGAAATCCATAATAATAATAAATCTATGATGTTCTAAACCAGGGGGATATCTGCAGACTTCAAAGCATTAGATATTTTCATCAGCCATGATGCCATATGTTCCATGAATTATAGAGAAAGAGGTGTATATCACATTGATATTTTGAGTAAAGTCACCGAGGGCAGGTCTGCTCCAACTCAATGTTTTGATATAATAATGTGTAAAATGACAATATCAATGAAATATGTGAATATTGTTTTGGAGCAGGTTTGCGCTATTTATATTATATAGTAAAAATTAAACACATTTTGTCCTCTTTCTGAAAAATAATGCAAAATTCAAATAGTTTGTGTTGTCATAGAAACAAAAATTGCCAAAAACCTACTTCACAACTATAATATTTTTTGTTAATTCAGATTTTTCATACAATATTATATACAATTCAGCACATTTCAAGAAATGTTCAAAACTGACATTTATGAGGGCAAAAATATGCATATACCGGTACTGCATATGGCTCAAGATTTTGTTTAGTCTTACAAGAGGAGTTGCAGATAAGAGATGGGTACCCCAAAGTATAATGGACAGAAGGATGGACATACAGCTAGATGGATGGACAGACAGATGGATGGAAGGACACCCCATCATTATACACCCCCAACTTTTCAAGTGGGGAGTATAAAAATTTACGTTCAGAAAAAAGTGGGTGGGGGCATGCTCATGTTGGAGAGAGAGATACTATGTAGAGAATGAAATACACTTGATAATCAACAAATCAAATGGTCAAAGATGTTTTTATATTACTACATCTTGTTTTAGGAAACCAAGAAACTAGTGGCTTTTTTGTATGGAGTTATGTCTCATCAGGTGGCCGACTACTTATGGTATGGAGAAGACTTACAGAAGGGCTTTTTGAATATGATGGCTACAGTATGAATGACAGTTTACGCATAGATTAGTTTTTCTATTTGTATTGATATAAGTGTAATCTAAAAGCTTAGTTTTGGTTGATAAATAATTTTTTCATAATCTAGATTGTTACTTTCAGAAATCATGAAATTTTCTAATGGTATTTCATTCTGTTTAGCAATGACTTCTGTGTTTTCTTGCATTCATTGGTGACTTAACTATCTGACCAAATGTATAAAGATGTGGAAAATTTTGTTTTGTTTCATTCATAAAGTCAGTGAAACAAAACATTCATTCTAGTACACATATTACATGTGCTTTGAGTTTTGTCACTTTAACCATGAGATTCATTGTATGAAAATTATATGACAATTCTTCTGAATACTTGTACATCTACTCATTCAAATAATGTGTGTATCAAATATTTACAGGTGTGTTAATATATTTTTATTAAAATTGTCACTATAGGATTGCATTGTCCTTGCATAAATGACATCAGTTAAAGTAAGAACGCATTATCTCTAAATTGTAACTCATGTTTGATATTCAGTTAGTGACATGATTTATTTATGTTGTAGTTAAATTTCCATGGAAATTTTCAAGAAGCTGCCTTTTTTGCAGAACTAGGTGAGCAATTTGAAAAGTTACAAATTTTTAGATTAAAAATAATTCCCATGAAGACAATCTATTTTTTCATCCTCAAAATGATTTCTTTTCATTGAAGGTAGTGATGTAGTGTTAGCTTATGATCTCAACCTTGATCATGTCAAACCATTTCTTGAATGGTAAGGAAGGGAAATAAACACCTGTGGCAATAGGAAGTTAAAATTAGAGAGACTTGATTGATAAAGCCATAAGTTTCTGTATTCAGCATGTTTTTTTTTCTTTTACTAGGTTTGTGCCAGTTAGTGACTTGGTGAACATCTATGCTCTGATTTTCGGTGAAGGGAAAGTTCCTTATAAAGTCATAGAAAACTGCACTGTCACAAGACTCATTTACCTGTAAGTTCTGTGGTGAACTACATACTGGAGAATAATCATTATCAAATACATTATACCCGGACATTAATCTATTTTCATGTTTTGTAGAATGAAAGAAAAAGTTAAAGTTTCTGAAGTAAGTTATGGTCTGCAATTACAGTTGGAAAGCGGTATCTCATACCAGGGTATACTGAACACTAGGGATATATGTTCAAGCATGAAGCAGCAATTTTCAAAGTGATGTGGGAGAGGAGTCAGATAATAAATATCAAATAATTAAATCATATGTTTGTTGGGAGGGGGTCCTACCCATCATATTCAGCAGAAACAATTTTGGGTACAATTACATGGGAGGGCTCAATCATACTCTACAAAAAGTGTTTGGGGGAGGGGGTAGGCAGTCTTGAATGAAAATTTTATACAAAATTAAAAACTCTTCTCATAGAAAAAAAGGGGCTCCCCATCCTCCTCATACTTTGGGCCTGATGTTTGGTCTGTGTCCCAAACATATTTTAAGTAAGTCTCAACTTCATTCTTTTGATACAGGAACATCTCGGTTATTCTCAGTCCTGCAGAGTGTGATATACCAGTGTTAAACTGTAGAATTAAGAAATTTTTGTCATGATTTAAGAAAAAATGGGTAATAAGTATCTTTTAAATAAATTTCCTAGCATATATGGCAAGTGACGAAAATATTGAATCCAGCATTTTGAATTTTTATCCAGGGGGAAATTAAAAAAATAACTTACATGTATATAATGCCTGTTTCAGTATCATAATTTCAGTATTATGTAGAAGTAGCCCAGAGCAGTCCCTTTCTGATGACCCAGATATTGGACTACTTCCCTGGGGGTGTGGATGATTCTGCAGGCTGGATGACAAGGAAGTGGGTGGATCTCACCTTTATGTTGGAGAATGGTATCAGGTTTGTAACCACATTCCTTATTTTTGTAGTTCATAAAATCTAGTCCATGAGATATTTAAAAGGGCACTGATACATATATATTATTATAACAGTAACTTGATCCGAAGAGTCGTATCACGTCAAGTTGACAGGCTCGGATCATCAGATCAATCGAGACGCGAAGCGTCGACTTTGAACTGATGATCCGCGCCTGTCAACGAGATGCGATACGGCTCTTCGGATCAAGTTACTGTTATAATGATAAATTTATTATATACCCCTTTACAACTAGCAAAATATGATAAAAGGAAACTTTTTGGATCAATTACCTAACTCCATTTAACAAACCATTTTGTCAAGGAACTTTTTGATACGCGAGAATAAAAACATCATTTATCTCAGGGTTCGACACTAACATTTTTAGGCTTTGGTCCGGCCGGACTAGTGCTTCTTTGCTTTTACTAGTCCGCACGCAATTTTATGAGTCCGTTTAAAAAAGAAAAAAATTGTTTTATAACGGTTAATTTAAAAATAAACATTGAAATGTACTTTTTATACTTTTTTGAAATAAACGAAGCATTTATGTGAAATGTTTTATTCCAAGATTCATTGAAATCTCGCAATCAGGAACTACGATCGTATTCCCGATCTTGTTTGTTTTTCTCTATACATTACATCCAAACGTCCGACATCTTACTAAATCATGATCGCTAAAATGTTTAATTTCATACCAATCAGTCCTAAAATTAAGAGCTGAATTGACTTGGAATTACCTAACTTCCCACCAAGAAGCTAGAAAGCTAAAAATACATGCGGGGTTTTCCAGTGAAAGTTGTCGAGAATCGAACATCGGTGATCTATTGATCTTTTTCCAGAAATTTTTATTAGTCCGTTCGGACTAATTAGCCACAGATTTTATTAGTCTGAATGAAAATGTATTAGTCTGAGACTAACGGACTAACGTTAATGTCGAACCCTATTTATCTGTGTACTACGTCATCAGTTTCAGAGAGGGGTGATATGGATTCAGAAAACCACAGTGTGGTGATCCAGAACGTTGGATCACACCGTCATGTGATTTCATAAATTCAACAGTAAAATTGAGTGACAAACAGTAGGGTATATAATAAATATGCAGAGTGCACTAATTTTCAAAGTTTATTCAATAACTTTGATGTGATCTTTGAGTGGAAAGAAAAAAAAACATTAGGAAAAAAAAAAATGGAACCATCACATATTGAACTTAAAGTGACACTGTGACGGACAAACGGGAAAATTGACAACAGTAGAATTTTTGTATGACACATGCAAATTTTGTTCAGTTCTTGAAGATATTAGGTTTCAGAAAATTACAGGGTTAGAACCTAAAAAATCTAATTTAATGGAGAAAAATAAGAGTAAAAAAATTCTTGGTATAACCCATCACAAAAATATTGCTTCACGTCTTCCTCTTTATTGTACGCATGCGCTGAAAAGTTGAAGAATTTACCATGATTTCAATTCAATAGATGACTGAGAATTTAAATACAATCTTCTAAATAGATGATCATAACTTATTCCTTACTTCTGCTTGCCCCAATTCAATGTTGTTTACAAGTTTCACGTTAAAAATAAAGGACGCGTGACCTTGACATTGTTGACATTGACGATAAAAACAAAGCGATAGATACAACATTTGTTTTTCCGGCACTTATATTTTGCAGTTTTTTTTTTCTTGCTTTACAGTGCAGTTGAGTTGTCAAAACTTCGCTATATTCATATTTCACAGAAATCTTTTGTTTTGTGATACAATTTTCTTAAAAGAAACACATGGTTTTGACTCATTATGCAAGTTTAATTGTTCTTAGTGATCTTAATTGTAATATTTCATATCATTGGTACAGTTGATGCTCTCAGTACTATAATGTTCTTTTTAGTACATGTATATAGTATGGTCTAAAAAAGATAACTAGAGATTTACATGTACATGTATTAGCAAAATGATGAAGCATTTTGAATTATTTGAAAATGTGTCAAATTTTATGTGTTTATGGATCATATAAATTTTGTAGCCATTGTGTGATACCATCTAATCCCCTATTGATAAAGTGCAACACTAGTACCATCTACCAACATACAAGTCATACAGCAGTTAATTACCAAGATGTCAAGGCCAAAGCTTTTACTTATGTCAATGGTGATGTGGATCATACATATGTTCATAAGATTTCTGAGGAAGGCAGCATTAAACTTTTGCCATCAACTATCTACTGGGTGAGAAAAAAAACACACACACCATGTTTTACGGTTTCAAAAATTATACAGTAACATCTCATCTTTCTAAATACTTGAGATTGCATGTTTTTTTGAGTTAACACAGTTTTTATACCCCGCCATGAATATGGCCGGGGCATATAGTGTTTGTCATGTCCGTCTTCCATCCTTCTGTCCTTCCGTCTGTCCTTCCGTCACACTTTGTGTTTAGCTCTGTTCAAAGCTCAGTTTCAAAGAAACTATCCAAGATATTTTTATCAAACTTCATATACTGATAGATATTGATGAGGGCTATGCAACTGCATCAACATTTTTTGACCTTGACCTTTCCTTTGACCTTGACCTCACTTTTCTTAAATTAGTGTTTAACTCAGTTTTAAAGATACCATTCAAGATATTGTAATCAAACTTCATATGTTGATACATACTGATTTAAGCTTTTCAACTGTATCAACATTTTTTGACCTTGACCTTTCTTTTGACCTTGACTTCACTTTTCTTAAATTAGTGTTTAGCTCAGTTTTTAAGATACCATTCAAGATAGTGAAATCAAACTTCATATGTTGATACATTCTGATTTAAGCTTTTCAACTGCATCAACATTTTTTGACCTTGACCTTTCTTTTGATCTTGATCTCACTTTTCTTAAATTAGTGTTTTGCTCAGTTTTAATGAAATCATTCAAGATATTTTAATCAAACTTCATATGCTGATACATACTGATGAGAGCTATTCAACTGCATCAATATTTTTTGACTTTCACCTCTCCTTTGACCTTGACCTCACTTTTCTTAAATTAGTGTTTAACTCAGTTTTAAAGAAACCTTTCAATATAGTGTTGTCAAACTTCATATGGTGGTACATACTGATGAGAGCTATTCAACTGCATCAACATTTTTCGACCTCACTTTTCTTAAATTTAGGGATTTTTTTAGGGTCTCTCCGGGGCCGAAATTCGGCCCCATTCCCAATGCTGAAAAGTGTATGTTTTTCCCAAAATTATACCTAAAAATTCCCAATATGAAAAAAAGTATTAAGTTGTAAATTATTAAAATAAAATAATGACAAAAAGGTGTTTATGTTCTCCATGTGCGATGTACGATCCATCCGAGGAGTTCTGAGAAGTTATTCGGAATACTACGGATGTTTGTATGCATACTTTTTAAAGCGGGATCGATGTTTAAAAATTGAAGTCGGGATCGTTATTTAATAAATAATCGTGCATCATGTCAGTCTCTCCAGTTTGCCTAGGACGGTAATTTTCAGGCAGGCTGGGTTGAATCGCTCTTATTCTTATAAATTTGTCAAACAATACCGATTAACCCATCATCTGGAACAAACCCACTCTCAAATTTTATCTTAAAGAACTTCTTACAGAAAAGTAAAAAAGATGACAACGTATAAATATGTTCATTTACAATGTTATCATACGCTGCGGCTTTGCCATTTTTAAGCTTCTGAACTTCAACAGCGCCTAGTATTATTTCATATCACTAAAGCTGGTTTAAGCCAGCTTCATACTATAAAAAATAAGAAAAATGATTAAATATTTGACTTTTGCTTCTTTTTTCCTATTTATTTGTATGAAGATATTTTCCCCAATTTCAACCAAAATATCGCTATTTTTCCCAATTTTGACGGCCACGGCCCCTGGATTCAAAGGGTAAAAAAATCCCTGAAATTAGTGTCAAACTTCATATGCTGATACATACTGGTGTAAGCTATTCAACAGCATCAATATTTTTGGACCTTGACCTTTCCTTTGAACTTGACCTCACTTTTCTCAATTTGTGTTTAACTGAGTTTTAAAGAAACCATTCATAATATTTTTATCAAACTTCATGTGCTAATACATACTGATGTGACCTTTTCAACTGCATCAACATTTTTTGACCTTGACCTTTCCTTTGACCTTAACTTCATTTATTTTAAATTAGTGTTTAGCTCAGTTTTTAATAAACCAATCAAAATATTTTTATCAAATTTAAAATGCTGATAAAAATTTATCATCTATATACAGTGGCGCCTTGTTAATCCGGACGCCTCCGTCCCAAACGAAATCGTCCGGATAAATGAATTGTCCGGATAAGTGAATCACTTCTTAAAAGGCGTACCCTCTTAAATCATATACATATGAACATAGTGGTATCAAATGTGAAGGCAAAGAAAACACCTTTATTTTACCTTGACTTATTGATTTTATTTTTATAGTTTTAAAAGAAATAATAGATATTTAAAAAAAGAAAAAAATTAAAATGTAATTTACACGATGAAAAATGGATAGGCAGTTTTATGTTGAGACTTCCTTCTCTAACACAGGAAACTTTATTCGCCTTCTATTTGACATGTAGTTACATGGGCTGACCAAATTTTGATCTGCTACTGTTTTATTTCGGCACTTTTTTTTATATTTATTCAAGCTCATATTAAGTAAAACTGTTCATTATCACCATTGAGAATGTTCAAATGATTAACCGCGTATATTCACTACATAAGGAAGTAAGAAACTAAACAGTAATCAGTGTACGTATTGCAAACATTCAACGTAAACACAAGCCATATTCAGGATTATCAATACTTTTTCTATAAACTCTAAGTTATATATCTTGAAAAGACGTGATCGGCATTTATAACTAACGCCAGTTACGTATTTCTTAGTGCATTAATAGAAATATATTTTCTTGAATTATGTATCATAATAAATTGTCTTATGAAAAGAAAAAAAAAGTTTCAAATGATGTACGATCGTATTTTGATAAACTTACGTAACTCAATACCACAACGAAATCTCGTGATTTATTATTCAGTAAAAATTTTATTTACAACTCTCCAAAATTCTCATTAATTTATATACGTTAGCAATTTAATTAATGCACAGTATAAGCTAAATTCTTCGGGCTTTATAATATAAAAGATGTGTTTTAGCTGAGGTAAACACACGCTAATTATGGACGCTATTGTTTAGAGGTCACAGGTAACCGCCTTCAAACTGACTTCACGGACAATGCTTTTACAATAATTATCACTACTGCAAGAAAGGTGTGAAAAGTCGTTCCTCGAAAAATTACCGTCCGGATAAACGAGTCATTTTTAGGTCACCTGAATCACTCAGGTGACCTATTGCTATCTGTTTTCGTCCGTCGTCGTCCATCGTGCGTTAACTTTTGAACATTTTTAACTTCTTCTCTAGAACCGCTCAACCAATTTCAACCAAATTTGGTATATAGCATCTATGGGTGAAGGGGAACAAAAATTGTGAATTTCATGGTCCCTGCCCCCCCGGGGCCTGAGGGGTGGGGCTAAAACCACCAAAAATAATGCAATCTTTAAAAATCTTCTTCTTTACTCCTGAACATCAAGCTGTCAAACTGTTGGCATCATTGTAATAAGCATTGAGCCCTCTACCAAAATTGTGAAATTCATGGCCCCAGGGTCAGGGGTTCTGGCCCCAGGGTGGGGCTATATAGATCATATAGTGAAAGTGCATTATTTCTTTGAAAATCTTCTTCTCTGCTCCTGGGGCCCGTTTTACAAAAGAACTTACGACTAAGATCAAAAACTTCAGTCGATTGTAAAATTTTGCAGGATTAATTATTCTTTTTAAAATTGTCAGTGTAAAAGTATCTTTCTACACATCTTTTAAAAATATTAACACCGTTTTGTATTTAATGTAAATTGAAAAGTTATTAGCAGTATTAACTTTTGGTCTTAGTCGTAAGTTCTTTTGTAAAATGGGCCCCTGGGTATTAAATAAAGTTACTAAGTACATAGTTATGATGAGCAAGAGTGCCTCTTCCAAAATTGTGAAATTCATGGCCCCAGGGTCAGGGGTTCTGGTGTTAGGGCGGGGCTCTATTGATTATATAGTGAAAATGCATTAATTCTTTGAAAATCTTCTTCTCTGCTCCTGGGTATTAAATAAAGGAACTAAGTACATAGTTATGATGAGCAAGAGTGCCTCTTCCAAAATTGTGAAATTCATGGCCCCCGGGTCAGGGGTTCTGGTGTTAGGGCGGGGCTCTATAGATTATATAGTGAAAATGCATTAATTCTTTGAAAATCTTCTTCTTTGCTCCTGGGTATTAAATAAAGTAACTAAGTACATAGTTATGATGAGCAAAAGTGCCTTTTCCAAAATTGTGAATTTCATGGCCCCAGGGTCTGGGGTTCTGGTGTTAGGGCGGGGCTCTATTGATTATACAGTGAAAATGCATTAATTCTTTGAAAATCTTCTTCTCTGCTTCTGGATATTTAATAAAGTAACTAAGTACATAGTTATGATGAGCAAGAGTACCTTTTCCAAAATTGTGAATTTCATGGCCCCAGGGTCAGGGGTTCTGGTGTTAGGGCAGGGCTCTATCAACTATATAGTGAAAATGCATTAATTCTTTGAAAATCTTCTTCTCTGCTCCTGGGCATTAAGTTGATAAACTAAGTACATAGTTATGATGAGGAGGTAGGCCTCTTCCAGAATTGTGAAAGCCATGGCCCCTGGGTCAGGGGTTCTGGTGTTAGGGCGGGGCTCTATTGATTATATAGTGAAAATGCTTTAATTCTTTGAAAATCTTCTTCTCTGCTACTGGAGACTATTTAAACAAACTAAGTGCATGGTTATGATACATAAGGATGCCTTTTCAGAAATTGTGAATTTCATGGCCCCAGGGTCAGGGGTTCTGGTGTTAGGGTGGGGCTCTATTGATTATATAGTGAAAATGCATTGATTCTTTGAAAATGTTCTTCTCTGCTACTGGAGACTATTTAAACAAACTAAGTGCATGGTTATGATACATAAGGATGCCTTTTCAGAAATTGTGAATTTCATGGCCCCAGGGTCAGGGGTTCTGGTGTTAGGGTGGGGCTCTATTGATTATATAGTGAAAATGCATTGATTCTCTGAAAATCTTCTTCTCTGCTACTTGAGATTATTTAAACAAACTAAGTGCATGATTATGATAGACAAGGATGCCTCTTTCAAAATTTTTAAATATATTGCCTCAATT